AGTATAGTTTGTTTAAAAGTGGGTAATGTCCAGGTTTGTTATTGCTAATGCCATGTGTGAAAAATATGAAGCCTAATTTTGTTTTAAACAACTCGGATTAAAGGTAGACCGCTTCCTCCTCCCACGCCACTTTTAAATACCGGGGTGGTTCAAACATGCCCAGCATCACGGCGGTCCACTGTCCAATATTGACGTGCTGTGATAATAAATTGTGTAACCGTCAACATATATTGTCTGTTATAAGTTGCTGATTATTTATTGCATGATTCCCGGGAAGTTGAGAATGAGGTAAGACTGCACTCTGATCCTCCGGCCCCCGTATTCATATACCACACGAACATCCGGGTTCGATTCCCCACATGGGTACAATGTGTGAAACCCATTTCTGGTGTCCCCCGCCGTGATATTGCTGGAATATTGCTAAAAGCGGCGTAAAACTAAACTCACTCACTCTCTCATATACCATACGCTGGGGTCATGCGTCTGTGTGGAGTAGGGGCGGTTGGGTAGCCTAGTGGTTAAAGCGTTGGCTCGTCACGCCGAAGACCCGGGTTCGATTCCCCACATGGGTACAATGTGTGAATCCCATGTCTGGTGTCCCCTGAAGCGGCGTTAAACCAACCTCCCTCCCTCACTCACTCTGTGTAGATTATGTGGATCAAAATGGATCTGTCTTCATCCATGTTTAACGCAAGAGCTCCGCAATATTCCGGCTTCATGTAGGTGGTCAGTAAACGATCGAGTGTGGTCCAAACCAACAAGTGATTGACATACTGAGCATCGATCTACGCTAGTTTGAAACGATGACACGTTTCAACCAAGTCGGCGAACCTGCCCGTCCTTATTAGTCACTCCTTAACACACGCATGTCTTGTTGGAGACCAACTGTTACCCGGATCTTCCAGGGGGTCAAAATGGATTAATGCTACTGTGAACACTCACATCGGCTGACGAACGTTGTAGACGGAGATTCACGAACACTGTTACGCTGCTTTGTGATCAGCTTCTAATAACAGGGTTCGGACCAATGGTCGGCTGTACTCTTATAGGGGAAAAGCTGAACTGGAGCAAAATCGTACGTAAACCCAACCGATTTCCTCCCAACACTCAAACGCCGAAGACCCGGGTTCGAATCCCCACATGGGTACAATGAGTGAAGCCCATTTCTGGTGTCCCCCGCCGTGATATTGCTGGAATATTGCTAAAAGCGGCGTAAAACCAAACTCAGTCAGTCAGTCAGTCCCAACACTCACGAAACGCCAATATACCAATGATACCTTTCAAACCCTTGCTCTCATCAAACGTTTTGTTTAAGTCTGAGATCTCATAGGTATATGGTCTGCTGAAATCAAAAGTAAGTTGGTGTAGTTTCAGATATTCAAAAGAGGGTAAAGGTGACGATCTCCCGTACCCCACCCACACGTATCCACACATGCACATACGCGCCGTGGGAAAAATTATTTGTCCCTTGATTTGGCATGTGTTTATGGGTACAATATGTGAAGCCCATTTCTGATGTCTCCCGCCATGATATTGCTGGAGTATTGATAAAAGCGGTGTAAAACAATACTCATTCACACTAAATATCATTCAAAGAGTTCAACCAGATGACACACGCCGATTGTTCCCCGTGTGTTTTGATGTAAAGATTGTGCACAGGCGGATTCAAGCATAGTCCAGCACTATAGACCATACCGTGACTACCTGGAAACATACGACTACAATCGTTATGTTGCTGACAGTCGACCTCTGACAAACTGCATGTGTGTGTGTTTGGCACACCCGCACGTATGCTGTAGTCGATGAACTCAAGCCTGACTCGCAACTGATGTTTCCCGATGGCGTTGATCATTATACCCTACTCGAAAGAAGTTAGAGAAGACCCGATTCTTTCATATTACTACAGTTAATATACTCTCCCAAAAAGAAACGCATCATGAAAATAGCAATTTCATGTAGCAATGAATTAAAACGTGATTCATTTTACAAAAGGTTTTGCGCTGTTTATGAGTCCTAACGTGTTTATGTTTTGAAACATCACAACAAAACGCACCATCCGTAAAATACCCGTATTTAACAGCATGATTGTCAATTTCGGCGTGTAGTGTCACAGAATACACAATTCACATGCAATGCATGTGAAAGTTGGGGATCAGATAGTCTCAATGATGGGTATAAAAGGTTGATCGCTGTCTGTCGATTATTCACTGTATTTGGAATATTGTTGACGAACGCAAAATGCCACGTCTTAGTGAAGCCAACCGTCATATCGCCATTGGTTTGCTTGAAGCTGGCCAGTCTCAACGTGCAGTTGCCCGACGCATGAATGTTCACCAAAGCACCATTTCACGGCTTTGGGAGAGATATCGCCTGCAGAATGCGGTAGCAGATGCCCCTCGTAGTGGGCGACCTCGAGCGACCACTGCGGCGCAGGATCGCTACATCCGGGTTCATCACCTGCGTCATCGAACAGCTACGGCGACCAGTACCGCTCGACAAATACCCGGATTGAGGAGGCTTTCTGCACAGACCGTCAGGAACAGATTGAGAGAGGCTGGTTTACGTGCCAGAAGACCTTATTTTGGCCCTGTGCTTCGACAACAACATCGTCGACATCGAGTTCAATGGTGCACCAACGTTCAGGCCTGGAACCTACCGAATTGGCGTAGAATCTGGTTCAGTGATGAAGCACGATTTCTATTGGAACGACGCGATGGAAGAATGCGGGTGTACAGACGTCGACGTGAACGTTTCGCCGACGCTTGCGTTCCCCAGGTGGACAGATTCGGCCGGGTCAGTGTTATGATGTGGGGAGCGATCACCTGCCGTAGGAGAAGTGATTTGGTGATGATCCAGGGCAACCTGACATCTCAACGGTACTGTGACGAAATCCTACGCCCACACCTCCTTCCAATCATTGATCGCCAGAGGGAGTTGTTTCAACATGACAATGCCAGGCCCCACACAGCACGTCACACTAGAGACTTCCTCCAGAACCACAACATCAATGTGCTCCCCTGGCCCTCAAGATCACCAGACTTAAACCCGATGGAACATCTGTGGGATGCCCTGGACAGACGGGTGCGACGCCGTAACCCTCAGCCCCACACACTTCAGCAACTCGCACAGGCACTACAGACAGAGTGGGCTGCGATTGGGCAACACGAGATTCTGAGACTTATTCGTTCGATGCCGAGGCGATGCCGTGCAGTTCTGGATGCCCACGTAGGTCACACGAGGTATTGACTTCAGCGCCACCACACGTCTCCATGTGACACTCAACCTGACTTTCCTCGAGTTGGTGCCAAAGACGGATAATTCTGCATTCCCAGTGTGCAATTTCGCTATATTTCAATGACTCATAAAGACTACAACATGTTTCAAAATAAACATAAAAATACAGTTGAAATTCCTATATGCGTTTCTTTTTTGGGAGAGTATATGTCAGGACATAGCTCCACTGCTGTAGAAGCTACCCCCCAAAACAATAATTAATCCTGGCCTTGGTGATCCGCTTACTGTTGTATAATACTGAAGTTTATCATTTATGTCTCGGTTTTGTCACAACTAAATAAATCACCGATCTCTAACCTCAGTGAGACAGATCAAAACAAATGTTAATATTACCGCATTGTCTCTGATAAACACATTGTGTCTGGAAATTGGTAATTACACCGAGCAGAGGTATTGGTTTGGTTTAATGTTCTCTTTGAACACCCGTCATATCACTACACTATCTAAAGATAATGGTTTGGAATTGGTCTTCAGCAACCCATGCTTGTCGTAAGAACCTAATAGCTTAGATCATGACATTGATCACTGTATTGTCTGGTCTTGATTATTTACAGACCGCTGCTATAAAGCTTGACTATTGCTGCGTGCAGCGTTAAACAACAAACAAAAACAAGCAAAAACACTTTTGATGATGTTTGTAAAAGGACTAGCATCAGGAAGACAATGACAAGGTCGCAAACCCGGTATTCCCATGTCTTACAAATGGTCAAGATCATGTCTACAAAACAAAAATAGATGCCACAGTTTTAATATGTGTCCACATTTAAGATGGTGTTTATACAGAATAACGTAGGGCATGCACAAAGCTATCTCTGATTATTACTGTGCATTATTCCATCGGGGATCTGTTGCTTGGAAGTCTTGCTTGTTTCGTGTCGTGAAGTGATAGGGCTTAAATGTGATATTGAAATACCTTCGATAAACATCATATCTCATTAATGTTCAAAGAAAACTTTTGTTTGTTTCATAAAAAACCCACCAGTGTCCCTTCCTGTATTGTTGATCTTGTAGATCTTCAATTCTGCAGTAAAACGACTGACGTCATAGTTATTTCTTTAACAAACGGAAACGACACGACACGCCCGTTATGCGACCAGTATAACAAATACCTATTGTCCAATTCATGAGAATTACCCGTTTATAATTAAAGTGCTGACAATACTAAATCACTGCGCAAATATTAATGTTAATGAAATTGTTTTCAGATATTTAACCCGAAAACAATTAACGTAACCAAGCAAAAGCCAGGGGGGTCAACCGCCTCTTAAACGAGTTGTGTTTGAAATACCGATTTTAGTGTTACACGCTTGATCATAAGAGGAGGAAACACGATCGTTCAAAGCTGGTTCCTATATGCTTGAACGCTAACCTTCTGTTGTGAGCTGTTAGTTTAGTTCACACTATGGTGATATCATTCATCGGTGCTCCTTCTTTACCTGCACGTCGTGACATACGAGACGCTTGTCTTATTAGACCACGACTGACAGAAGGGCATTTGTTTACACTGAGTACCGCCTATAGTACTTGAATACACCTGTCTGAGGGTCGCATGAATTTTTATTCAAGGATGAACGAGCTTGTTAATTGACTCCTGGGATCAGTTTCTGCTAATGCTTGGCGAGCGGGGAACGGCAAGCATAATAAAATCAATCGCATTGGAGAGACATACTCCAGTCGGCAAACAGACTGGAAGATATTGGAATTGCCCACAGAGTTTTATCTTGGAAACCCTTACTTCCTGACAAAGTACTGTGATCACACACACTTTTTAAGACTAGATCGATTTGTGTGTGTTAAGTTATTTGATCGCGTTCCTATCATCTTGGCGTCCAAAGCTTGCGGGATCAATTCAAATCGATTAAGGGTATTTCTAATCTTACTGGATAAAGGATTACACTGAAAGAATTAGAGAAATGAGTACGGCAGTAAGGCGCCAGTCAACAGACACTGGACGGGTCAATCTTCGACGACAGTCCATCGACGTCAACAGGGTCGCCAGCAACATCAGCAAACCTTCAATGGACGGGACAAGAGCTGCTATGATTTTGACGTCTGCTCAAAGTCGTCTGCCCGCAGGGCCCCGGATGGAGAATTCATACAGACTGGAGCCAGAGAAAGCGTTTCCAACCTGTTCCGTGAAAAAGATAATTCAGAGTGTATTTGAGGAGATGATAGGTGATAAGGAATATGACCCTGCAGAGAGCACGCTTTTGGCGGCGAAGCTGGCTGACGTTATCAAGCACCGTGTGAAGGAACTCGGACACACTAGATACAAGATTGTGGCAACTGTAGCAATAGGTCCTGCTGCTATGTCCTCTGTTGCCATGGTGAGCAGATGCGTTTGGAACCCAAACGTGGACACTTTCGCTGAGTATGCTTATCAAAACGGAAAGCTGTACGTTATTGGGCTTGTGTACGGGTTGTACCTCGAATGATGACAATTACCTTAGTGACATAAGGACATACTAAACCTATGAATGTGAACAGTGCCTCAAGGACTGAGATGAACATTTGGAAAGAAGAGCACAGATCATGGGCAATGTCCTTTTCTTGAGAGTGATGTGTGTAATAATAGGAACATTTGTCTCAGAAGTCCAGAATCTCAGTACCTCTGTGATAACGGTCTCGTAACCATTCTTTGGATAGAGGAAGATTTGTGATGAGGATGTTTCAGGATCTTTTAACGAACTTTGAAGCATGTGTGTGTGACTCTTTGTATTTAGTCAAAATGCAGCAACTTTCTATGTTTGAAACTGGTCAAAGTACAAGTAAACTTGACGCGAGAGCACGTTTTTAATACCTGTAAGGCAGGACTTCCTTACCCCTTTGGCGAACACCTGGTGTCATCACAGATTTAACAGTGATCTGTTCATATGATTTCATCTTCTGTCAAGTGGGATCTGTGTTCGTGGATAAGTGAGCCTGTTCTCCACCGTTGACGTTTTGTTTTCAAAACTTTGTTTTTGTCAGACACCGCCTGTGATCTATTACAGGGATACGGGAGATGGGAGGATTGATTCATGGTGAAATAGACAAGTTGGCGGTTGGTTAGAAAATATTGACCTTGCTATGGGAACAGTCGTCTAATTGTGGAGTCATGTCTTAAATCTATCAGTCCCTACCCTGTAATGAATTATCTGTTCCTGTCCACCAACCGTGACCGTCACACCTCCACCTCAGTCCACACCCTCAGCACCATGACTCCAACCCGAACGTGACCGTAACACCTCCACCTTGAACCCCACCCTCAGTACCGTGACCGTAACACCTCCACCTTGAACCCCACCCTCAGCACCGTGACCGTAACACCTCCACCTTGAACCCCCACCCTCAGCACCGTGACTCCAGCCCGATCGTGACCGTAACACCTCCACCTTGAACCCCACCCTCAGCACCGTGACCGTAACACCTCCACCTTGAACCCCCACAGCACCGTGACTCCAGCCCGATCGTGACCATAAAAAACGTCCAATTTGAACCCCCACCCTCAGCACCATGACTCCAATCGTAACACCTCCACGCTGAACCCCACAATCCATCCTCAGAACCGTTACAATCGGCTTCTTTAATCTTTATGTTACAAATGATTATTTATGAATTAATCTGAAACTTTTCATGACACGTTTATTGTTGGAGACTGTAGACAGTTATGCAAGTATATATGTTTTTATGTCAATTTATCGTGTTTCCAATAAAAATAACACATTTACTTATTCTGTTTTAATTTCCTTTATATAAAATCATTTCAAATGTATAAAAAATCATCTCCTCTGACCTGTGTGAACTGAAACGTGTATGGCTGTATAATGATGGGCATTATAGTCTCTGAATATTGGTTGATACTGGAGTTGATGCCAGACCCTGGGTAATAATTTGAAATATAAATTCAAATCAAGTTTATGATGATTTTGTAGGTTCGCCACAGCTCTAGGAACTAAGCATTATTCTGGGCTTCGTTTGGATACTTAAAATAGGATAACGTTTTCTTTTGGGAATAACTGTTAGTTAATTTTATTAAGCATTCCATGTATTAATCTTTTCTTACTGAAGTATTTTTTAATGTTAATGTTTCTTTGTGTTGTATCCAGACAAAGACAGTGTATTTCACGAAATGTGTATGTGTATACATCCGTTTCTTGCAGTTTGATTTGGTTTAACATAATGAGAAGGTATGATTGAACATTTAAAGATAGTTAAAACTGGGGGCGGTGGGGTAGCCCAGTGGTTAAAGCGTTGGCTCGTCACGCCGAAGACCCGGGTTCGAATCCCCACATGGGAACAATTTGTGAAACCCATTTCTGGTGTCCCCCGCCATGATGTTGCTGGAATATTGCTAAAAGCGGCGTAAAACCAACTTCAGTCAGTCAGTCAGTCAGTTAAAACTGTATTTGTTTCATTACAGATGGGGGTGAAATGGCGTTTTTTCGTATTGTAATAATCGATGATTCATCAAGATGCTAGTGAATGTGTTGACAGTATCTTAATTATATCATAGTGTGAGAGCGTAATGATTTCGGTGGTCGGGTTGCATTGTGGTTAAAGCATCAGCACCATGGCCCAAGACTCGATTCCAAACATCAGAAATCGTGTTTATTCTATTTCTGGTGTGATATTGCTGCAAAATGCTACAAACGACGTAAAATAATACTCACTCACTCACTCACTTGATCACAAAAGTCCGTGATGTCTACTTCGGTGAATACTGCAAGCACGGGTTGGGTGCTGCCAAACCAAAGATCATAATCGGAGTCGACATCAACTAGCGGATCCTGGCAGCCAAGGAACACAACTCTGCACAGCGAGAAGCAGTACCTTTGTCTTGGTTCTCCGTCCCAAATGCATAATGAAGTTTCTTGGAGGTTAAGTAATTATTCCGAAATCATACCCAGGAATCGATAGAGCAACCCATTATGTGAACCATCCCTGACTAACCGGGAACAGAGTGTCCGAGAGAGGCGACATCTTCTTCCATAGATTATATGAACAGAAGCAACTACATTCAGTTGCGCAGACACGGATGTGTCTTATTTCACATTACACCCGTGAAGATCCAGGTTAGAATTGGTCTTCAGCAACCCATGCTTGTCGTAACAGGCGAATAACGAGATCGGGTGGTCGGGTTGATACATGTCATCGTATCCCAGTTGCGTAGATCGATGCCCACTTTGTTGAGCACCGGATTGTCTGATCCAGACTCGATTATTTACATATCGCCGCCGTATAGTCAGACAAACAGATATTTTATAGCGTCTCACCGCTGTACATCTTAGAATATAAATACAAACATAAGAGTGAGTGAGTTTAATTCAATTCACGTCGCCATTATTTCTGTCCTATTGTGACTGCAGACACAAGACTTGGTACAGTAAGAATATGGTACAGCGCCACTCACATTAAATTATGAGAGACGATAAAACATACACAAGCAGGCATTTATACATATATAAAAACTGTTTATCCAATTACAATATGTTTTCTACGTTTTAGTACAAAGAAGCAGGTTTTGACAGTAACATAGACGTCGTGTTTAAAAACGACACATAACTTGAATACTGCTGAAAGCAGCGTTAAATAACAAACAAACAAGTCAAATCGAGGTTGAATCCAGAATCCAAAGACAGGAAGATAAATATCTCTAGTCTGTCGTACAGACCCTGAAGCAAATATATCCAAAAAAGGCCCACGCAAGTCTAGAAAATGTGGCAAGTGAAAATGAAGAAAGTCTCAGGGCTCCTTTTCATTATATTTTTTTTTTTTTTACTATGAACTTTTTCAGTAAAATATGTTCATTTCAGAGACTAGTTGTTAGTCTAAAATATCCCCAGAGTATTGACTATAGTTTCAGACCCTCAACGTTAATCCCTACCCACCAGGTACTTCAACTTGAAACCCACACACTTAAGTCGTGTATATATCACTTCTTATAGCGGCGCTGGGTAGTCATACATAAAACCCTTCCACGGTAACTGTGGAATAAGGAAGAAGTCATTAAAGTATAAGGCACTTAGACATGAAGTGGGGCCCTTACGTTTGGCATTAACACGGTTTCACTTGTTAAAGATAAGATGTGTTGCGACTGTGTAAATTGTTGAGCAATATTTTGGCTGTAGCGAAAAAACCTAAGCATTTTCAGTTCGTATGGTTTTAAGATTAAGTATCAACTTCGTTTTCAAGTATGAGAGAACATGCGGGTACATATCTACCCCACGCAAAGAAAAGGATATTAACTATGGCACGTAGAACGGGCGTCTTTGTTGTGGACCTATGGCATGATCGTCACGTGGGTCAATAACGGGTAGCTCATGGTCGTCACATGATTGAAATGTATAGACAGATCATGTTTGTCCAAAAACTGAATTATTGTTTTTCACCTGATTTTTATTCATATGACAGGATATTCAGTCACATGTTTGAATCGTTGACATGACATCATTGGTCTTTACTTTTTCATGTAAAAATATATAAGACGAGTATATGGATGGCAACGTCTTCTTTATTGTATAACATGACGTTTCTGGGCTACTTCTTGGTTCAATCACCTGAAGAAGGGGCAAGAATTAACCCAGAAGCGTCGTGTTATACAATATAGAAGACGTTGCCATCCATATACTCGTCTTATATATACACCAACTTCTAAATGCCTCTCAAGAATCTCAAGTAAAAATATCTTTTGAAAATTCGGCACGTTTTAAAAAACGGCTGAATGCCACAATGCTCCTTTTCGTTTCAAAATAACATGAATAGGTGTGTGTGCAAATATTGGTTAGATTATATTGGTACTTTATAATATGATATGATATGTGATGTGATGTGATGTGATGTGATGTGATGTGATGTGATGTGATCTAATATAATATAATATAATATAATATAATATAATATAATATAATATAATATAATATAATATAATATAATATAATATAATATAATATAATATAATATAATATAATATAATATAATATAACATAATATAATATAATATAATTATCCACTTGACTTCAACAGATGAGCATATCAGACATCTTGGTTGCGACTTGTCGACTATTCTCGTCAGTAATTAATCCACTTGTTATGAATTCGGGAGTGCTCAATGACAGGCGGACGTGACGTTAACGATACACGCGTCTTATCACATACACAGCAATTCAAGCTAATCTTGATCACCATGTCATAAACTTGAAGTTCTTTACCACTGCAAAGATGTTTTGAGAAATAATACATTACGGCTCACGAGTTTGATAAGCGTTGGCCGAGGGTTAAGCCCGTGTTTTCAGGGAACTGTGACTATCTACACTCGCGCAGACCACGGTGCCGGTTACGACTTAGCCCCATCAGGAATACCATCAGATCGAGGCAGTGGGCCGTGTGACGGGGTAGTGGATAATCCACATGTGTCACTGTTGCTCGACATGGTGACGGTCAGGTCATTAAATGCTGTGCGTTCTGTTTCTTGACCCCACGTTACATAATAACCTGAACTAGAGTTGGGATGAGATATAAACGGGTTCGGGAATATCAAATCTCATGAAAACTTAAGGGGAAAGGTAGCCCTGCACCAGGGCTGTACGGAATGCTGAGCCCGTGGCTGTATAATAGTTCTGTCCTTTAAAGTCCAGATAAGATGACAGTTCTAAGGACGCCAGTCTGTTAAGGGGACAATACGTTTATTTTATTTATATCTTTTTTGAAATTATCACTTAACCTTAGAGACTTGTGCAAGTTATGGGGAAAGGGGTTCTGTGCAACTTATAAACCGACTTTGCTCTTAAAAAGAACGAATATTTATGTACGCATCTTCGTGAAAATATATCAGTCGCACGAGCAGTAGTCGTTGAAGAATCAGAAAAGTTTAGTCAATAGGAAACCCTTTAGCTTTGAACCAAAGACGATTTCTAGTCATATTTTTAAAAGTATGTTCATTAAAAAAACAAAACCGAATTGAACCATGCAAAAGGTGCTTTAAAAATTTGAACATAAGATATTGGTCCTAATGTCCGTATATTCAAGGCATGAATTTATTCAACAATTTGCATGGTACCTTCTTAAAAAAATAAATCATTGTATTTAGCTCTGTTTAGCAATTGCGACATCTCGCCACTTGTATTATAAAACACACCTGTATTATAAAACACACTTGTGTTGTAACACTACAGGCTGGTAGGGGATACAGTACCCACCGATCAGTCGTATGATAAAGTGAGGTCGTTATGGTGTGGATTAAGTGTGATCAATCCAGTATCAGCCGTCACAACCGTCGTGGCCCGAGTCTCTCAAAGACGGAGGCCACCCGGGGTGTATATATAGTACTCAGAGTTTGCTAAGGATCAGGCTTTAGCTATATAAAAACTTATTGAAATATCCCGGTACACAAAGCCCGGGTAACCACTGTATGAACTCAGTTTCATAATGAACAAAATAGCCAAGCAGGCATGGGCACGATGTCTACGAGTTGCTTGAAGACCTGTGATTTTGTTATTATCAGAGAGCACAACACCAACTGTTTCTGAGGAATACAACAATTGAAGGCATTTATACTTCTTCAACGTCAAAGACATCGTTTCTTGAAGCTTCATTTTTAGTCTGATAACAAGTTTGACAGGTTATCTGACTTAATATTGACCACATGTCGACGTGCGGCGCATGACTGTTGACTTTCATTCATTAAACAGGTCTTCACACAATACAGAAAGGCTATTTCATCAGATGCACATAATCTGACGCATTGCTTTTCAGGTGGTGATCCTTAGCAAACGTTGAGTAGTATATTCCACGGTAGCAGGGCCTACGAGAACAGTCGGGTAGACGTGTCAGCACACACACGACCCCTCGGGGATCACTGCCAGTATAAAGGATCTATTGAACAGATATCGTACTTGCTGATGGAATTACTTCCACAGAGATCGCCAAGATGGCTCTCTAGCGTGTGACTGGGCTATGAAAACTGTAACTTATTGGCGGAACATGATGTCAATTAAGTCGGTTATATTACCGTTGTTGAAATCCCGGCGCTGTTTATTGAATAACGTATTGGCCTGTATTGCGTGCGTGACGCGGTTCACATGTACCCTGGTAGATCAAGATCCCGGCTTGGAAACGTTGGGAGAACGTATCGAAAAATGTTATATACACATTTACCGTCACAGGAAATGTGTATTGATATGTGTTGTGGTAGGTCCTCCCTTGTGTTCCCCCTTCTCGTGGTAGGTCCTTCCTTGTGTTCCCCCCTTCTCGGGGTAGGTCCTTCCTTGTGTTCCCCCATGTTGTGGTAGGTCCTCCCTTGTGTTCCCCCATGTTGTGGTGAGTCCTCCCTTGTGTTCCCCCATGTTGTGGTGGGTCCTCCCTTGTGTTCCCCCATGTTGTGGTGGGTCCTCCCTTGTGTTCCCCCATGTTGTGGTGGGTCCTCCCTTGTGTTCCCCCATGTTGTGGTGGGTCCTCCCTTGTGTTCCCCCATGTTGTGGTGAGTCCTCCCTTGTGTTCCCCCATGTTGTGGTGGGTCCTCCCTTGTGTTCCCCATGTTGTGGTGGTAGGTCCCTCCTCCCCATGTTGTGGTGGGTCCTCCCTTGTGTTCCCCCATGTTGTGGTGGGTCCTCCACCATAATTTCCCCCCATGTTGGTCCTCCCTTGTGTTCCCCATGTTGTGGTGGGTCCTCCTCCCCTTTGTGTTCCCCATGTTGTGGTAGGTCCTCCCTTGTGTTCCCCATGTTGTGGTAGGTCCTCCTTGTGTTCCCCATGTTGTGGTGGGTCCTCCCTTGTGTTCCCCATGTTGTGGTAGGTCCTCCCTTGTGTTCCCCATGTTGTGGTGGGTCCTCCCTTGTGTTCCCCATGTTGTGGTGAGTCCTGCCTTGGGTTCCCCCATGTTGTGGTGAGTCCTCCCTTGTGTTCCCCATGTTGTGGTGGGTCCTCCCTTGTGTTCCCCCATGTTGTGGTGAGTCCTCCCTTGTGTTCCCCATGTTGTGGTGGGTCCTCCCTTGGGTTCCCCCATGTTGTGGTGGGTCCTTCCTTGTGTTCCCCCATGTTGTGGTAGGTCCTCCCTTGTGTTCCCCCATGTTGTGGTGGGTCCTCCCTTGTGTTCCCCATGTTGTGGTAGGTCCTCCCTTGTGTTCCCCCATGTTGTGGTAGGGTCCTCCCTTGTGTTCCCCATGTTGTGGTGGGTCCTCCTTGTGTTCCCCCATGTTGTGGTGGGTCCTCCCTTGTGATCCCCTATGTTGTGGTGAGTCCTCCCTTGTGTTCCCCCATGTTGTGGTAGGTCCTCCCTTGGGTTCCCCAATGTTGTGGTAGGTCCTTCCTTGTGTTCCCCCATGTTGTGGTAGGTCCTTCCTTGTGTTCCCCCATGTTGTGGTAGGTCCTTCCTTGTGTTCCCCCATGTTGTGGTGAGTCCTGCCTTGTGTTCCCCCATGTTGTGGTGGGTCCTCCCTTGTGTTCCCCCATGTTGTTGTGAGTCCTCCCTTGTGTTCCCCCATGTTGTCGTAGGTCCTCCCTTGTGTTCCCCCATGTTGTGGTAGGTCCTGCCTTGTGTTCCCCCATGTTGTGGTGAGTCCTCCCTTGTGTTCCCCCATGTTGTGGTGAGTCCTCCCTTGTCTTCCCCCATGTTGTGGTAGGTCCTTCCTTGGGTTCCCCCATGTTGTGGTAGGTCCTGTCTTGTGTTCCCCCATGTTGTGGTAAGTCCTGTCTTGTGTTCCCCCATGTTGTGGTAGGTCCTCCCTTGTGTTCCCCCATGTTGTGGTAGGTCCTTCCTTGTGTTCCCCCATGTTGTGGTAGGTCCTTCCTTGTGTTCACCCATGTTGTGGTGAGTCCTGCCTTGTGTTCCCACATGTTGTGGTGGGCCCTCCCTTGTGTTCCCCATGTTGTGGTGAGTCCTCCCTTGTGTTCCCCCATGTTGTGGTGAGTCCTTCCTTGTGTTCCCCCATGTTGTGGTGAGTCCTGCCTTGTGTTCCCCCATGTTGTGGTAGGTCCTGCCTTGGGTTCCCCCATGTTGTGGTAGGTCCTCCCTTGGGTTCCCCCATGTTGTGGTAGGTGCTTCCTTGTGTTCCCTCATGTTGTGGTGAGTCCTTCCTTGTGTTCCCCCTGTTGTCGTAGGTCCTCCCTTGTATTCCCCCATGTTGTGGTAGGTCCTGCCTTGTGTTCCCCCATGTTGTGGTGAGTCCTCCCTTGTGTTCCCCCATGTTGTGGTGAGTCCTCCCTTGTCTTCCCCCATGTTGTGGTAGGTCCTTCCTTGGGTTCCCCATGTTGTGGTAGGTCCTGCCTTGTGTTCCCCCATGTTGTGGTGAGTCCTCCCTTGTGTTCCCCCAATGTTGTGGTGAGTCCTCCCTTGTTTTCCCCCATGTTGTGGTAGGTCCTTCCTTGTGTTCCCCCATGTTGTGGTAGGTCCCCCCTTGTGTTCCCCCATGTTGTGGTAGGTCCTGCCTTGTGTTCCCCCATGTTGTGATAGGTCCTTCCTTGTGTTCCCAATGTTGTGGTGAGTCCTTCCTTGTGTTCCCCCATGTTGTGGTGAGTCCTCCCTCGGGTTCCCCCATGTTGTGGTGGGTCCTCCCTTGGGTTCCCGCATGTTGTGGTGAGTCCTTCCTTGTGTTCCCCCATGTTGTGGTGAGTCCTCCCTTGTGTCCCTCATGTTGTGGTAGGTCCTTCCTTGTGTTTCCCCATGTTGTGGTAGGTCCTCCCTTGTGGTCCCCATGTTGTGGTAGGTCCTTCCTTGTGTTCCCCCATGTTGTGGTAGGTCCTTCCTTGTGTTCCCCCATGTTGTGGTAGGTCCTTCCTTGTGTTCCCCATGTTGTGGTGAGTCCTTCCTTGTGTTCCCCCATGTTGTGGTAGGCCCTGACTTGTGTTCCCCCATGTTGTGGTAGGTCCTTCCTTGTGTTCCCCCATGTTGTGGTAGATCCTCCCTTGGGTTCCCCCATGTTGTGGTGGGTCCTCCCTTGTGTTGCCCCATGTTGTGGTAGGTCCTCCCTTGTGTTCCCCCATGTTGTGGTAGGTCCTTCCTTGAGTTCCCCCATGTTGTGGTGAGTCCTTCCTTGTGTTCCCCATGTTGTGGTGAGTCCTTCCTTGTGTTCCCCCATGTTGTGGTGAGTCCTCCCTTGTGTCCCTCATGTTGTGGTAGGTCCTTCCTTGTGTTTCCCCATGTTGTGGTAGGTCCTCCCTTGTGGTCCCCATGTTGTGGTAGGTGCTTCCTTGTGTTCCCCCATGTTGTGGTAGGTCCTTCCTTGTGTTCCCCCATGTTGTGGTAGGTCCTTCCTTGTGTTCCCCATGTGGTGGTAGGTCCTTCCTTGTGTTCCCCCTGTTGTGGTGAGTCCTTCCTTGTGTTCCCCCATGTTGTGGTAGGCCCTGACTTGTGTTCCCCCATGTTGTGGTAGGTCCTTCCTTGTGTTCCCCCATGTTGTGGTAGGTCCTTCCTTGTGTTCCCCCATGTTGTGGTAGATCCTCCCTTGGGTTCCCCCATGTTGTGGTGGGTCCTCCCTTGTGTTGCCCCATGTTGTGGTAGGTCCTCCCTTGTGTTCCCCATGTTGTGGTAGGTCCTTCCTTGAGTTCCCCCATGTTGTGGTGAGTCCTCCCTTGTGTTCCCCAATGTTGTGGTGGGTCCTCCCTTGTGTTCCCCCATGTTGTGGTGGGTCCTCCCTTGTGTTCCCCCATGTTGTGGTAGGTGCTCCCTTGTGTTCCCCATGTTGTGGTAGGTCCTCCCTTTTGTGTTCCCCATGTTGTGTTGTGGTAGGTCCTCCCTTGTTTTCCCCATGTTGTGGTAGGTCCTCCCTTTTGTGTTCCCCCATGTTGTGGTAGGTCCTTCCTTGGGTTCCCCCATGTTGTGGTGAGTCCTCCCTTGTGTTCCCCCATGTTGTGGTGAGTCCTCCCTTGTGTTCCCCCATGTTGTGGTGAGTCCTCCCTTGTGTTCCCCCATGTTGTGGTGAGTCCTCCCTTGGGTTCCCCCATGTTGTGGTAGGTCCTGCCTTGTGTTCCCCCATGTTGTGGTGAGTCCTCCCTTGTGTTCCCCCATGTTGTGGTAGGTCCTCCCTTGGGTTCCCCCATGTTGTGGTGATTCATCCCTTGTGTTCCCCTATGTTGTGGTAGGTCCTCCCTTGGGTTCCCCCATGTTGTGGTAGGTCCTTCCTTTGGTTCCCCCATGTTGTGGTAGGTCCTTCCTTGTGTTTCCCCATGTTGTGGTAGGTCCTTCCTTGTGTTCCCCCTGTTGTGGTAGGTCCTTCCTTGGGTTTCCCCATGTTGTGGTAGGTCCTCCCTTGGGTCCCATATGTTGTGGTAGGTCCTCCCTCGGGTCCCCTATGTTGTGGTAGGTCCTACCTTGGGTCCCCTATGTTGTGGTTGTTCCTTCCAAGTCCTGAAGGTTTTTAACGGATCTTCCCAATCATTCTGCATCACAACACTGAAGGACCCACCACAGGACTTAAGGACAAAGGAAGACACAACTGTGGAGGACATAACCTAGGACCAACCTGAAGACCTGATAGAGGAAGATCTTACACAACGCTGAAGGACACAGAGGAAAAGGTTCTCTGTCATCAGTCCTCTTTCCAGTTTCTGCAAGCCTTGGCACACATAACAAACCAACAGAAAAACACATTGTTCTTTTGGTTTATTTTTTACCCATTTTAAATTACATTCAAATCAGTTCCATTCTCAATCATGTCATGTATCTCTACTCTCAAAAGATGCTGATCTAAAACCACTTTGCCACCACTTACACCAATATCCAGCATCAGTCCTAGTTACTGTAAAACAAAATTACAATCCTAATATCACTACAGCTGTCCACATCATTAGTGCTTCTCAGTGCCAATACTTCGGTCTGTTGCCTTTTCTCCTAGACCTTTTCTCATTGTATATAAAACCCCTGTACAGATACATGCATACTTAATTTCCCTTTCATTTCGGAGCCTCACTTTGCCAATCAAGGTGCGCCACTTCATACATGAAAACTACTAACCCACCAACTGATCCAAGGTAAATGACAAAGTAATCTGAAGTGTGTTCCTTTTAAAAAAATGTACATATCTAACTTAAAGGTATCATTACTGATGAGAATCAACCCCATCTTAGGAATTAAGTAGTTGAAATGAATGGAGTACTCATATACCACATTAAAAAGATATTTGTCAGAGCAGTTACCATGGTTACTGATGTTCTACAAGAGGCCTGAGAAACACAAATTAAAGAAGGCAGCCAAATGTACACAAGTTTGCTTTAAAGATGAATTATGTACAAGATCCAATGGTAATAAAAACAGACCAACAGTATTTACATACTTTACACACAATATACATATAACAGGGGAACACTAGAACAAATTAAGCTTTGCCTTGATTTTATAAGAAAGACTGTCACCCTATAGGTGGACATGTTGACTCTGTAACCACAGTGTTAGGGTTTCTTTAAGAAACCAACAATATATTCCATCAAAATATGTAGAAATATAACATTCCATAACAAATGGACAAGTGTATTACAGCTGACATGTGGATGAAGACTGACATGTGTATTACAGCTGACATGTGGATGAAGACTGACACGTGTATTACAGCTGACAAGTGTATTACAGCTGACATGTGGATGAAGACTGACATGTGTATTACAGCTGACATGTGTATTACAGCTGACAAGTGTATTACAGCTGACATGTGTATTACAGCTGACATGTGGATGAAGACTGACATGTGTATTACACAAATATACTACTCAATAGATGCTAAGGAACACTTGATTTTTCCAAATCATCACAGTTATTCTGTCATGTCATTACACATTAACTGTAGCCACGTGACAAAATCAGGTGATCTTTATCTCTCTAGTGTTATATATGTTGTTCAGCAGTAGTTAATGTATGGTTGCTGATAACACTGACTGACTGACTAAGTTTGGATTTACGCCGCTTTCAGCAATATTCCAGCAACATCACAGCGGGGGACACCAGAAATGGGCTTCACACATTGTACCCATGCGGGGATTCGAACCTGGGTCTTCGGCGTGACGAGCCAACGCTTTAACCACTAGGCTACCCCACCGCCCCTTGCTGATTACAATGTCAATTGTATTTACATGTCAGTGAAGTCAGATTTGAAATGGAATTCCACAACATAATTATTAGGACATCTGGTTATGACAAACAAAAGATGGTTTTAAGATAAAAGATGGTAAGATCTTGTACATAGATTTATTGTTTATATGTTTTGTTCAAGGGATTTTGTACATTGAAAACTATGTTGAAAACTAAAATCTTCATAAAACTTGCATTATTTGATGCTTATCTTTGTTACTGTCTGCCAAAAATAGATTGTTTCAAGTTGTTCCTCTTGAAACATATGCAGGCTCTAAGTTTCAACTACAAAACTATCTGGCTAAGCAGGTAACAATACCCACCCCAGTAATCTCCATACCAAATCCCAGCCCCCTACTGACCCCTTAACTTGGAATATACAATGATTTGCCCTTGCTAGCGAGTAGTTAGTAGTTAGTAGTCAACACTCACATCGTAAACATTCTTAATATAAGGTTAAACATGGATTTATGAAGTAACATTACTACATTTATACGAGACATGGTAAAGAAATGAAACTTATAAAATGATATTTTGATGGAATAGAATAAAAAGAAAATCATGATATAGAGTATACAATTTGTTAGAATAGCTGCCATCTTACAGTCCATGATTGAATGAATTTCAAAGTGTTTTAGTGATGTTTCAAAAACATACAATTTCATGACAGATCATCTGATCAAGATCAAAATCGACTTGAAAAAATCTTCCACAAAAGATTGTTAAAAAAGTTAAATTTGTTTGTATGTACACTTAATCTGTCATAGCTGGTTGATATTGAAACACAGCATTCCAACCATGGCTGCTCTGTAACTGTAACAAAGTATTATTTTTAAACAAAATTTCTTAATATTTGTCAATGTGGCATTCAAACGAAAGCTGTTCCATGCCACACCATAAAACCGATTCAGCAATACTAGCAGTGTCTACAATTCATGGATTTGTATAGAAATAACATTCCTCAATCACACATGAATGCATTCAATTTGAGTACACCAAGTGGGGAATCGAACCAGGATCTTCGGTGTGACGAGCGAATGCTTTAACCACTTGGCCACTCCACCAACCCAGATTCAGTTAGAACAGTGTTGATATGAAATCTATCTTAATGACACAAGGCTGTATATCTCTGGAAGTCAAAGAACCCAACTCTGTACATGAACTTTGTGTGAACCCCGTAATTGTTTGATACTGAAGCCATGTGTAGACAAGATGGCTGCAAGGCAGTGGTACATGCTCTGGTATGTGGAAGAGTATAGCTGCTTGTGAGACGTCATCTCATTGGTAAAAACACTTGCTGAGTTCGTTCTCACAGGGTACAAGTGGTAACTACATTAGCATACTATGCATTCACAGGTGATCGAGGAACATCATGTGTACAAATCTGGGCGCCATTCAAACATGTGATTGTGTCGCTAGGAAATCGTACCTCCAATACGTTAACACAGACTTACAATAGTTGAAACACCAAGACTGCTTTGAGAAACAGGGCCCTGGAATGTCGAGGCAATGCTGTAATACACCTGTTCTCCAAGTCATGTCATTTCCTGACAAAAACATTAGGTTAATAAAAAACAGAGAACTGCAAAAAATACCTTTTTGAGGTTTTTAGTTATTTCATACTCTATTCATAATCTACACATTAAATTTCAAAACATAGTTCATTTCATTACTTAAAAAGTGCCATTAATCAGACACATTTGGCTTTCATTGGTTATCCTGATTGTTTGTTTTGGGAGATCAAAGATAAGTGAATTGGTAAACATATCGGAAATAATTTAGCTTCTGTACTGTAGTTCTGGCGACATAATATTCAAACTAAGTCATCATGAATATAGGTTTGTAATATCAAAGGCATTGAGCCCTCCAAAAGTATTCAAACTAAAATGAAAATCAACAGTAGAAAAAATTCTAAAAATGTTTCATATTAAAATGTCCATTTAAACAAAATAAATGACCTTGGAATGGACAAGAAAACAAAAAACTATCTATCCACAATAAATATATGTGCAAAGAAAAATCCCCTGTGTTCTGAATCTTTACTATTTACAAGTAAAACCTAGGATAAAAATCACAATAAGGTTTTGTCACCATGATTATCAGTAGAAAGTTCAGGTTACAGTCGTGATTTTTTGTTGCATGAAAGGCGGATAAAACAAAGAACAATGACTAATGAAATTTCATACATATCGTACACTGAAAATAGGAAAGATCTTTATATACAAAATGACATTATATAATGGCGAGTAGCAGATCAAAGATACTGCAAATAGATACTACATGTCAAGGTTAACAAAACTATAAGTACATTGCAGTTTAATTATATGATTAGCAGTAAGCGTGTGGGACGATAAAAATCAAGATCATTAAGGTGTTGTGTGCTAAGAGACATTAATGCTTTTCACTCATGTTTTACAGTCCTGTCAATGGAAACGCAAATAAAACTAAGTAGAAAAGTGTGTTAATTAGTATTTTGAACATTTTAATCTTCATAAGAAATTTGTCATTTTGTTTATTTTTGTAGCGCCATGTTTCAAGAACAGCAAATCAATATTGTCCATATATGAAGGAGTGATAGTTTCAGCAATCAGTTTGTTGATTGTTTAACATTGTACTCAGCAACGTTCCAGCTGTAAGACAAAGGGCTCTTTGAGTCTTGACCAGACAATCCAGTGATTGACATTGTGAACAATGATCCTTGTCACTAAAGCCCAGACACGACAACAACACACCATTGGGTCATCTCTTTGGAGCAACACAGGCTATGGGGCCTGTTCTATCCTTTTGTTTTATCAAGATACCCTTGGCTTGCCCTCAATACACCTCTGGAATGAGTGAGTATGGTTTTACACCGCTTTTAGCAATATTCCACCAATATCATGACAGGGGACACCAGAAATGGGCTTCACACAATGTGCCCATGTGGGGAATCCAGGCCTACAGCGTGATGAGCGGTCGCTTTACCCATCAGGCTCCCCCTCCGCCCCATACACCTCTGGAACTACCATAAAGCCTATCATCAAATACATCACCATCAATATGTTAATTGTTGTCATTTTTTCAATGGTTGCTTTAGAGACTTGGACAACATAAGTACCAAAGAGCACCATTTCCAGTCATGCTTGCTGGGCGCAAAATTTGTAAAGAACAGCCTGAGAGTAATATTATCATCATACAAGGAAGTTGTTATGACCAAAGATATCTTTTATTATAATCTGAATTTCAACATAACTAAGAGTGAGTGTGTGAGTGAGTTTAGTTTTACGCCGCTTTTAGCAATATTCCATCAGTATCACGTTGGGGACACCAGAAATGGGCTTCACACATTGTACACATATTGGGAATTTAACCCAGATCCTCGGCGTGAAGAACAAAGGTCTCAACCACTAGGCTACCCCGCTGCCCAAACAGTTGTCCACAGTGAAAATTCCTGAGTATTCCTAACTGATGATATCTCCATGATGAGTAAACACACAAGATACAGTCAAAACTAAGCCGAACAAGACTCAAGAGTCTCAAGTGAGTGAGTGAGTGAGTGAGCCACAGCTCAAGTAATAACATAATAATCTTGACAGACTGAATTCCTACAAGCCAAACAAATACTTTACCAGCCAGTGTTTCAATCTACCTATAGTTCAACAACAGAAAGTTACATAGACAGGTCTCATCCATAATTATCTCTGTCCAATAGTCACAAGTCAAGGTGCATGAGTTCCTGTGTTCTTGTCATTCTTCCCTGCCATCAACAATGATCTGTAGCATAATGAATCTGTTCTATTTCATGTCACTTAATAAAATGAATTCTTTTCATCAGCTCGGATTCTACTGATATGGCTAATTAAAACGGAGATATGTAAAATCCTATTGCTCGCAGACTAACTAAACTGAAGAGACTTGTCCAATCTGTCTTGGATGAGGGTCAGAATTCTTGTGCCAACTGTGTTGTAACAGGGTCACAGAGGGTCTCTTCTGTCTTCAATGAGGGGCAGATAACTTGCCCATCGTGGATGAAAGTGAGACAGCGGCTATTGCTGAGGGTGGCTGTTATAGTTGTTGTACATCTCATTAGGGACAGTGATGTCTGGAAGTAAGAGTGAGTGAGTGAATTTAATATGCGCGCTACTTTGAACAGTATGTCAATTACACTGCTCAAATTACGGAGGGATATCTTCAGTCACTTATCGTGCAGCAAGCTCTAGTGAGTGAGTGAGTGAGTGAGTATGGTTTAACACCGCTTTTAGCAATATTCCAGCAATATCACGTTGGGGACACCAGGAATGGGCTTCACACATTGTACCCATGTGGGGAATCGAACCCGGATCTTCAGCGTGACGACCGAACACTTTAACCACTAGGTTACACCACTGCCCCAGCAAGCTCTAGTGACACAGGTTGCAGACATATATCCCATATCACACCTACAGAGGTTATCATGTTTGTGTGTTTCGGGATGGTAAATATCCTTGATTGGGAAAAAAACACATTGTACTTAGCAAACCTGTCACTCTTCAAAAAAAAAGAACTTTCAAATACATGTACATGTATACAATTCAAATTACCAACTCCAGGTGAGTTTAGATTTATGACGCTTTTAGCAATGTTCCAGGAATATTACTGCAGGGGATACCAGCAATGGGCTTCACACACTGTACCCATGAGAGGGATAAAACCTGGGTTTTTGTCGTGATGAACGACCGCTTTAACCACTAGGCTACTGCACCGCCTCCAAATTCAGGTAATTACATTACATTGTACATTAGATCTCACCTGTCAAAATTTGTAAAAATATCAAAACAGATAATTCACAAAATATATGATGTATTACTCACTTAGGACTAGATTTCCACCTTGCTGTGGGGAGTGTGTGACCTGCCTCAGTGATGTTGCTGCTGCTGCTGCTGCATTCCTGGACCCGGGGGGACTGCACATAGCCATGCTGAGGGGGAGGAGGAGAAGACATCAACACGGGCTTACAAATCTGACGAGATTACCTTACTGAAGCGAGTGAGTAAGTTTAGTTTTACGCCACCACTTTTAGCAATAGTCCAGCAATATCATGGCTGGGAACGCAAGAAATGGGCTTCACACATTGTACCCACGAAGGGAATCGAACCCAGGCTTTCAGCGTGACAAGCGACCGCTCAAACCACTAGGCTACCCCACTGCCCCCACCTAACTGGAATGTCTCAATAAACACAGTAAGATGTTGACACTTCAATATGGATGAGTGAGTGAGTGGGTGAGTTCAGATAGACAAGGGTATAATGTTAAAGTCCCCTTGTGACCTTGAAATGGAGGTCAAGGTCACCAAACCTGACTGGGACATTTCTTTTACTGTGATGAACCTAGGTACCAAATATGAAAAGAATCCAGTCAACGGTTCTTAAGATATTCCAATTCGTATGTACGGACGGACGGAGCCTAATACCATATCCCCCGCTTCGCGCTAAACACACGGCGGGGGATAATAAGTCTGTTGAATAAACATCTCAGTTACTTCTGTTCTCAATGGTTAATTTATTCTATAAACACACATTATTTAATGTGATAAGATTAACTCAGTGTCAGTTTGAAGTCCTATAAATGACACATTCTCTTCATACTCATGGCAGACCAACCAGCGGAACGTAGGCGGAGGGTAACAGACTAAAGTTGAGTAATCTAGACTGCTTTATAATCCAGACAAATGAGTCAGTCCTAGGACAGTCCGTAATAGACAGATTCCACTGTACTCAAGAAAAAAAGTTAAGAACACCTATTCTTTCATAGTGCTACAGTTAATCTAACATAGCGGTAGGTATTGCAACACTGGCTGACACTTGCGGTTGTTCTTTAATATGCTTTGAATAGTATACAATTTAACAATTTATTGAAGTAATATGAAACAACTGGGTGTTCTTCTGTTGAGAACTTTGAGTGGCATGTACAAGCTGGTGTGATGAACAGGAATGATTTTTTATGGATAGACATCCAATCTTGGATGATAAGCATCCATTGCAATAAACAAGTTGTCTAACATGGTATATTTGGGATTACACTTTCCTAGTAAAGTAGAGATTCTAGTACTTTTGTTGGGTTGAGTCCCATCCAGGATTCAAACCTACACCCTCAGAGTCAGGCACCTAATCGCCAGCAAACAAAGTCAGCCGCCTAACCCGCTCAGCCACTGCGACTTCCATAAGAAAGTGCAATCCCAAATATACATATGTTACATTTGACCACTTTCTAAATGGCATTGTGTAATCAAAGAAATTGTGGATCTATAAAAAATCATTCCTGTTCCTGTACGTCTCTATCCCTCACCTGGGGAGGAGAATGCATCTGAGGTTGGGGGATGGGCTGACCGTATGTGTACGGCCCCTGGGGCATGCCTGTAGAGTGGCCCATCCTGGGGGTCTGCTTCTGTGGGGAGATGGCCATCATGATCTGCTGCCCGGGGGTCGGAGGAGACTGGGTGGGGACGTTGAGCACCTGAGACAGGGGGACTTGGACGTAGTTGTTCTGTCCATGAAATTTCATCATGGGAAGGGAAGATGATGTCATCCCATGATGCATTGCTGAAGCTGCTTGACCTTGGAGAGGAGACATCTGGTCTGGCCAGCTTTGGCCCGTTGGGCTGAGTGGACCACCCCCTCCTCCCATGTGGGGGATGTTTACTGGGGAGGAACTGCCCCCCTGTATATATATCTGCTGCTGCTGGGGGTCATACAAGATTGGAATGTGTTGGTAGCCTGGAGGAGGTGACATCTGAACAGAGACATAGGCCCCGTTATACGTACACTAGCGGCAGTATACAGTGCATGTTCAGGTAGAGGCCTCGGGACAGGGGGTAATGTGTATGCGGGGACCATGGTGCATGTGTTGGTTGACTGGAGGAGGTGACATGTGAAACACAGGCCCCGTTATACGTACACTAGCGGCAGTATACAGTGCATGTTCAGGTAGAGGCCTCGGGACAGGGGGTAATGTGTATGTGGGGACCATGGTGCATGTGTTGGTTGACTGGAGGAGGTGACATGTGAAACACAGGCCCTGTTATACGTACACTAGCGGCAGTATACAGTGCATGTTCAGGTAGAGGCTTCGGGACAGGGGGTAATGTGTATGTGGGGACCATGGTGCATGTGTTGGTTGACTGGAGGAGGTGACATGTGAAACACAGGCCCTGTTATAATGCATTAATTAGCGGCAGTATACAGTGCATGTTCAGGTAGTGGCTTCGGGACAGGGGGTAATGTGTATGCGGGGACCATGGTGCATGTGTTGGTTGACTGGAGGAGGTGACATGTGAAACACAGGCCCTGTTATACGTACACTAGCGGCAGTATACAGTGCATGTTCAGGTAGAGGCTTCGGGACAGGGATTAATGTGTATGCGGGGACCATGGTGCATGTGAAGGTCGACTGAAGGAGGTGACATGTGAAACACAGGCCCTGTTATACTTACATGAGTGGCACTATACAGTCCAGGTAGAGGCCTCAGGTGAATGTTCAGGTGGGGGCAAGAGTTTGGGAGAATGTTCAGGCAGGGAACACATTGCATGTGGTAATTGCATAAGTGTATGTGGGGACCTTGGGGTACCATTGTGTACAGCAAGAATGTCCATCATAGTGACACAGTGTAAGCCAGAATGTCCATCATAGTGACACAGTGTCAGGCAGAATGTCCATCATAGTGACATAGTGTAAGGCAGAATGTCCATCATAGTGACACAGTGTAAGGCAGAATGTCCATCATAGTGACACAGTGTCAGGCAGAATGTCCATCATAGTGACACAGTGTAAGGCAGAATGTCCGTCATAGTGACACAGTGTAAGGCAGAATGTCCATCATAGTGACACAGTGTAAGGCAGAATGTCCATCATAGTGACACAGTGTAAGGCAGAATGTCCATCATAGTGACACAGTGTAAGACAGAATGTCCATCATAGTGACACAGTGTCAGGCAGAATGTCCATCATAGTGACACAGTGTAAGGCAGAATGTCCATCATAGTGACACAGTGTAAGGCAGAATGTCAATCATAGTGACACAGTGTCAGGCAGAATGTCCATCATAGTGACACAGTGTAAGGCAGAATGTCCATCATAGTGTCAGGCAGAATGTCCATCATAGTGACACAGTGTAAGGCAGAATGTCCATCATAGTGACACAGTGTAAGGCAGAATGTCAATCATAGTGACACAGTGTCAGGCAGAATGTCCATCATAGTGACACAGTGTCAGGCAGAATGTCCATCATAGTGACACAGTGTCAGGCAGAATGTCCATCATAGTGACACAGTGTAAAGCAGAATGTCCATCATAGTGACACAGTGTCAGGCAGAATGTCCATCATAGTGACACAGTGTCAGGCAGAATGTTCTTGGGTTTCAATAGTAGATGAGATGTACCAGGAGTGTAGGTCATAGTTCATGTAGTGACACAGCATATGGCAGGCACTATGTTCACACCAGCACACTGTATGCCCAAAATGTTCATACTAGTATCACAGTGTCAAGGAAGAACGTTTTCTGGGTGGAACAGGGTATGGGCAGAATGTTCTTGGGGGTGCCATAGTGTGTGGTGAGAATGTTTTTTGGGATGCAATAGTTAATAGAAAGAATGTTCACTGAGGGGCTATAGTGTATGGGGGAATGTTCATTGGAGTGACAGTGTAAGGAAAGCATGTTCATGGAGGGGCTATAGTGTATGGGGGAATGTTCATTGGAGTGACAGTGTAAGGAAAGCATGTTCATGGAGGGGCTATAGTGTATGGGGAATGTTCATTGGAGTGACAGTGTAAGGAAAGCATGTTCATGGAGGGGCTATAGTGTATGGGGAATGTTCATTGGAGTGACAGTGTAAGGAAAGCATGTTCATGGAGGGGCTATAGTGTATGGGGAATGTTCATTGGAGTGACAGTGTAAGGAAAGCATGTTCATGGAGGGGCTATAGTGTATGGGGAATGTTCATTGGAGTGACAGTGTAAAGAAAGCATGTTCCTGGTTTTACCATAGTTCATTGGGATAATGTTTATGCATCTCATTAGGTTGGCAGTCCAAATGTACTATACACACTTGAATCTAGGACATTGGATAAATGTCAACATGAACATTATAAATTGCCTATTGCTCAGTACATGAATGGAACCAAATGTAACGATTTCTCAAATACATATCATCTAATGTATATTCAGCATTGGAAATTATCAGCATTTAGTGCATGCAACAATCACGTATTGTAGTATGATGAAGAATTATTCAGAAAACAATAACTACTGACCACTGTCCTCCTTACACTAAAATGATAGCATATAATAAAATACAGACCCAGCTACTGAAACTGAGTGATGATTATCAGTAACAGCATAATTGGTCAGGTTGGCTGGTTGGTTGTTGTTTTACGCCGCACTCAGCAGTATTCCAGCTATATGGTGCTGTCTCTGTACATAATCGAGTCTAGACCAAGGAACCCAGTGATCAACAGCATAACAAAGTGCCACAAAATGAGGCACAGAGAGTATTTATCACTAGGCTAACCCTCTGTACACTTGAGATGTTGACTTTTACTATAAAATAACATCATGATTGTTAACCCAATTAAGCACTACTCTGACACCTATTTCAAACAGTCACCTGTAAGTTAGCTGCTGTAGAGCTGGGCCCTTCTGGCATAGACTGGGACCTCTTCGTCTTCTCCCTGAAGCCTGGGGGCGCGGCCATGTGACTGACAGCTGGGGTGCTGGGGGAGGACTGAGACTTATTCCCTGGACGTGCTGAAAAGGGAAATGGTCTTCCTCAATTGCAAGAAATGTCATCGATGTGTGTCAGCAGAGTGAGTGATTGAGTTTTAGTTTTATGCAATTTGTAGCAATATTCCTGCAATATCTTGGAGAGGGACACCAGAAATGGGCTCCACACATTTTACCCATGTGGGGAATCTTACCCAGGTCTTCAGCGTGACAAGCGAATGCTTTAACTACTAGGCTAGAGCCCCTCAGGGGAGTGAAACACTCACTTTACAATCTTTGGAAGGGCACTCTGTCCACAACACCACAGAGGCAGCTGTGAGCCTTTGTCAGTGAGCATGTTAAAACAGTTTGTAGCAACAATCTGATATTGTCACTGCCGGGAACATCAAGCTTCACTCATTCTATTCCTATGAAAATGATCAGTGACTACTTCAACCCTCTGACTACCCTACTACCTGCAGTGTGAGTGAGTGAGTAGGGTTTTAATCTCTTTTTAGCGATACCCCATCAAGGTTAAAACGACAGGACACCAGAAATAGTCCGTTCACAAGAAAGGAAGAGATTGGGTACATACTGTTAGGTGACATGCCATGCTGAAGGGCCATGTTTACTGGCTGATCAGTCTTCTTGTTCACCCTTGCTCTCTCTTCTCGCTTTCGCTCTTCTCGCTGCCGTTCTTCCCGCTGTCGCTCTTCTCGTTGCCGACGCTCCCGTTCCTCTCTTATAAATACAGAGACACAGAACTCAAACAGAACTATTTCCCAGGCTTCAACAACACCAAGGTAAACACAAAGATACAGGGCTCGCACAGACCTAACTATTTTACAGGCTTCAACAGCCCCTGGAAGTAAACCATGATGCAAAACTTAGCATCACTCATCGACAGTCCATATAAAATTCATATACTTTATAAGTCTATAGCATCTTTACTATTTAAGTATCATTACCTTTCTTTCCTGTTTGTGACAATTGGGCACTCTTTTGCAATGTGTCCAATCTTCCCACACACTCGACACCCTCGGTCATTTGGTGGCGTGCCTTCTGTCAGCAGAGACCGGTCAAAGCAGTAGTCCTGAGGGAGAGAACTACATGATACAGGGATCTTCAACCTTAACATTCGATGTTTAAATCCTCAAGGGTCATCAATCAAACCACCGCCTCCGTGGTGTAGTGGTTAGAGCGTCCGCCCGGAGAGCGGAAGGTCGCGGGTTCGATCCCCGAACGCGTCATACTAAAAGACATTAAAATATGGTACTTGTTGGTCCCTGCCTGGCTCTCGGCATTAATGGGTACAACAAGGACTGGTCGGCTCGGAGTCAGTATACTGTGTCTGAGTGGGGTATTCATGCTTCACTGCGGCATGGTATCTCAGTGAGCTAGCACTATAAAACCAGCTTCAGTCTGGGCTAGTACAAGCAGCCGCACATACACATACACACGCATGCACGTCGTCATATGAGTGAAATATTCTCAAGCTCGACGTTAAACCCAATTTCACCTCACCTCATCAATCAAACCAATGACATGTCAGGGGAGGATCCAGGATTTTGGAGAAGTGGGGTGCACATATATCTTGAAGTCCAAAGGTTAGGGAGAAATGCTCCTCAGGGAAAAAACTTTTGGGGGAGAATGGGAGGTGCACGGTCCCACTCTAGATCCGCCCCTGACACATGATTGCAGTGAGGATAATAGACAATCGGGGCTGTCTTCAGTAATTTTCCATGTGTTCATTTTTTACACTAACAGCAGTCTCAAATTCATCAACTATCAACTTGCTTTTTGGAAGCAACAACATAATGAAGGGAGGTGAACTATTTACAGCTGGATTTAAGATTATCACACTTTCATTTCCGGGTAGAACTCTTACCACAAGATTAGATCAAGGACGTGTTCCAATAAGGTTGTGAACAAAATATGTCAAAAGACTTCGTTTTCAACAAAATGATTATCATCACTATGTCAGCTCAATATCTGCATCCAGCCACGTTTATTACTCATATTGAGAGTCACAGAGCCTCAATACCATGTCATCTACTACGATGGATCCTATGTCACCTACCCCAAGTGTCCTGTATATCTGCCCGATCAACTGCTCATCTTTAGGCGTACCATACAACTCTCGGCCATGAATGAAAGCTTTCAGGATGTAATTGTTCACTGGAAATAATCATAAAAGTACCTTGTCAAAATGGAGATTATTCACAAATTTCAACACTTATATTTGTGTATCTACAAAGCACTTACATCCTGAAACAAACAAAAAACCATTCTTGCCAAAGTCTGACTTAAGTGAGAACGACTTACTGAAAGCAGGTGTATATATCTATTATAGCCATATGTTATATATAATAATTCAGGGGCGGTGGGGTAGCCTAGTGGTTAAAGCGTTGGCTCGTCACGCCCGAGACCCGGGTTCGAATCCCACATGGGCACAATGTGTGAAGCCCATTTCTGGTGTCCCCCGCTGTGATGTTGCTGGAATATTGCTAAAAGCGGCGTAAAACCAAACTCAGTCAGTCTAATAATTCAGAGCAATCTTGCATAATAAATGATGTGAGCAACGGGAAATTCTGCTAACCTGCCAGTACTATGAGAAATCATTAATATACTACTTATATTATATTATATTATCAAACAATCTTTTTCATATTACTGTAGCATATCTATCATAACAAATCAACTAAAATATTGTAAAGTATCTGGTGTTTCTTAACTTCTCTTGAGGAGTATATAAATACCAAGTAACCATATATTCAGACAAGTGAGAATCATGACATAAGGCCTAAGTATATACCGTCAACAAAGGTCACATCAAATATACTTATGGCGAAGTGTGACTGTTCTAGACAAAATGGTCTTTTCATTACAACATATCAAACAAGTCCGAATAATATAAGTAAAGTTTACTTTCATCTACTATCATCAGACAAACATCCCCTTTCACACATTACTACAATATGAATTCTCAGTAAGACATAAATACACAATCTGTAAACCGGGTGGCTGAGTTGGTTAGGTTGCTGACTATGTGTGCTCGTGATTAGGTGCCTCACTCTTAGAGTGTGGGTTTGAATCCCGGATGGGCCTCAACCTTACAAAAGTATTACAAGTGTAATCCCAAATATAACATATGTTTCTCTGAGACAGCTACTCACTCTTTCTAGAAAGACCAGCACCGAGGTTGTGATTCAAATCAAACGGATCTGAAAACAAAGAACTGGAAGTCACCATCCAAATAACTGCAAAAGTAACTAATGTCTGTTATTACTGAATTGTTTGCCACTTTCACAATGTTGAACATTATTTAATGCTATTCATGATCAGGTCAAGATGAACAAACTGTATCCATGAAGGCAAATTTGATGCCAGATCTTTAAATGTCTTCTGACATTATCCTGTTGTTGGCAAACCACGAGGCCACATGCTCTGTAATTCCACAATGCGTAAGAATGTTTAGTACACACACACCAACAAGAAATATTTTACATCTGTTTCCTGTTCACAGAAAGTGTGTTTGAAACACAAATTTGTAGACAATTGTATTTCAACATTTTCAACATGTGTGTTTCTTCTGGAATTCACTATATTTTTAATTTATGTAATCATAATACCTTTACTGATCAAGTTTTGAACTCTGATGAATGCTCTAGCCTACCTTCAATAGCAAGACACTTCCCATTCCAGAGTTTCTCGAAGCGGGTTAGAGCAGCTTTCTGCCTAATGCTGACCACCCTCTCCTTGTAGTTGAACTCTTCTGTGTAGTAGCGGAACAAGCCCAGCCAGAGCTCACCGATGCTCATGTTGTTCTTCCCATAGTCCTTCCATACCTTGTGCTGCACACATGACATAGATATAAGCACTATGGTGTTGTAGATGTTATTATTTAGACTGGAAATGGTCCCCTATATGATTGAGATTCATCAGTTATTACAAGAACAGTAACTGTCTTGGATTCACTGAGCCAGGGGGAGACAACTCACAACAAAGTCTTGGATTTCAATTTACCAAACGTTGGCCACCAGCAAACTTGCAATAACACAGAAGATATTACTTGAATTTGCAGACACAATTTTTTTTAGAAAGAAATTTCCAGCAAACTCACCAGCTGGTCAATGTTCTCAAAGAAGTAAGCGTTGCAGTCATCGACCATCCATTCTGGCTTGCTCTTGCCATGGTACAGCTGAAACAATATCCCTCACCACATCAATAAACTCAACATACAAACCAGGCCCAGTCAGATTTTGAGGATCAGTTTTGCAAAATCAACCAAACTAATAATTGAGACAACACAATAACATGGTAGAAATGTTCATTACATTACAATAATGTATCTCTCAATGGCCCTTAAGATATAACTACATGGTTGTAGAGATCTCAGTTTCTGTGAAATTGCCTTGCAAATAAGGAAGCATAGTATTCAAATATACATGTATTCAGTCATGAAGGACAAAGGATGAGGAATGTTTTCTTACCTCCTGGAGCACGGGGATGACGGGCGGCCTGCACTGCTGGAGGTAGTGCAGCAGCATAAGGACGTAGGCATACGAGGACAGACTTCCGCGGGAAGCATCCCCGATGTCACACACCTACAGGGTGCAGCATAGATACATCATCATCATTGTCATCGTTGTCGTCATCATCATCATATATCATTTTTAGACATATCATCAGATATATCATCATCATCATCACCATCATCATCAGATATATCATTGCATCATCGTCATATATATCATTATTAAATATATCATCATCATAATCATATATCATTGTCATCATCATATATATCATTTTTAGACATATATCAGATATATCATCATCATCATCACCACCATCATCATCAGATATATCATTGCATCATCGTCATATATATCATTATTAAATTTATCATCATCATCATCATCATCAGATAAATCATTGTCATCATCAACACACATCATTATTAGATATATCATCACCACTGTCGTCATCATCATCATCATCATCATCATCAGATATATATCATCATCATCATAAGATAGATCATCATTAGATATCATCATCATCACCATCCTAAAAATCTACTTTAACACCAAATTCAGATCGTAAACATCATACTGTTCTTCTTCCTCCTCATTATCATCAACACTAATCAGCTATATCAAACTGGTCAATAATACACTTTTGGAAGCTTTGTTAATCCTCCAACTACAATTATCACTAGACTTGGATTAACATACTTGTCAAGCTTTGTTTGTTGTAAAACGCTGCCACAATCATTATTCTAGTTATGTGATAGCAGTCCGTAAATAATCAAACCAGACCATACAATGCAGTGTTGACACCATAACCACAACTCTATACAATCTGGATACAGTACATCATGATACATGCATCAGTAAAGACAGTGATCGTTGGTGGCCTCTTACGACAACATGGGTTTCTGAAGATCATTTCTAACCCGGATCTTCACATGTAACTTGTGGTAGTATGGAAGTCTGAACATAATCACCACAACTACAATGTCCACCAAACAACAGTGAGTGAGTGAGTGAGTATGATTTTACATCACTTTTAGCAATATTCCAGCAATATCACGGCGGGGACACCAGAAATGGGCTTCACACACTGTACCCATGTGGGGAATCAAACCCAGGTCCTTGGCATGACGAGCACACACTTTAACCACTAGGCTACCCCACCGCCCCTCCACCAAACAACAACAACAACCATCACTGTATATACTTAATAAAGCCTTTCAGTCTCAACATGACAAACTGACACATCTGAAATGTCCAAAGTGATTTCTCACCTTAGCAAACACCTTGAAGGCATATCCTAAAGCCCTGACTCGTGGGTCGATCTCACTGTATGTCAGGAGCAGCTTGGTATTGTGCTGGGCCTAGACACATAAACACAAACACTGTTTACTTGATAAACACAAACACTGTGTACCTGATAAACACAAACACTGTGTACTTGATAAACACATACACTGTTTACTTGATAAACACATACACTGTTTACTTGATAAGCACACTGTGTACCTGATAAACACAAACACTGTGTACTTGATAAACACATACACTGTTTACTTGATAAACACAAAAACTGTTTACTTGATAAGCACACTATTTACCTGATAAACACAAACACTGTATACTTGATAAACACATACACTGTTTACTTGATAAACACAAACACTGTGTAATAATAATTAGTCCATTTATATTGCGCTAAATCCACACCGACAGCATGCTCATAGCGCAGACAAGATAGAATTTAGGAGTCATTTTAAAACATAGAGAAAAGGTATGTCTTTAGGTTTGATTTGAAACATGTGACTGTCGGGCTTGTTCTAAGGTTCTTGATAAGCACACTGTGTACCTGATAAACACAAACACTGTGTACTTGATAAACACATACACTGTTTACTTGATAAACACAAACACTGTTTACTTGATAAGCACACTGTGTACCTGATAAACACAAACACTGTGTACTTGATAAACACATACACTGTTTACTTGATAAACACAAACACTGTGTACTTGATAAACACATACACTGTTTACTTGATAAACACAAACACTGTGTACTTGATAAACACATACACTGTTTACTTGATAAACACAAACATTGTTTACTTGATAAGCACACTGTGTACCTGATAAACACAAACACTGTGTACTTGATAAACACATACACTGTTTACTTGATAAACACAAACACTGTGTACTAGATAAACACATACACTGTTTACTTGATAAACACAAACACTGTTTACTTGATAAGCACACTGTGTACCTGATAAACACAAACACTGTTTACCTGATAAACACAAACACTGTTTACCTGATAAACACAAACACTGTTTACTTGCTGGTACTAAAGTAGCTACATATCTGGAGTGAATGACTGATTGAGTGATCGAGTGAGTTGGGTTTTACACCACTTTTAGCAATACTCCAGCAATATCATGGCAGAGGACACCAGAAATGGGCTTCACACAATGTACCCATGTGGGGAATCGGTGCCAGGTCTTCAGCGTGAGTAGCAAATTCCACCACCCCAATGAAATCAGAAGGCACGATGTCTTTTCTCCCTGGTGAGTGGCTCTGTTTCTCCCACATTCCAGTCATATGATAGCGAGTCTGGGCCTGACAATCCAGTGACTGACATCATCATCATCCACCTTCCAGTCATATGATAGCGAGTCTGGGCCTGACAATCCAGTGATTGACATCATTATCATCATCATCATCATTATGCCCACATGAGATCAAATGACATGCCATCTTCCCAGTCACTGAGTTTGACCACCTCATCCATTAAGTCGCATCTCATGAAATGCATAGGGTGCATGAGACCTGTATTCTTGCCCAGATTATCCAATGGTCTCTGTATCAGGTAGAAATACATCTACTCACATTTCTTTGTTGTTTTACACCACACTTGGCAATATTCCAGCTATATGGCGGTGGTCTGTAGATAATCAAATCTTGACCAGACAATCCATTGATCAACAGGATGAGCATCGATCTACGCATTTGGGATACGATGAGATGTGTCAACCAAGTCAGACAGCCTGACCACCCAATCCCGTTAGTTGCCTCTTACGACAAGCATGGGTTACTGAAGGCCAATTCTAACCCGGATCTTCATGGTTATCGACTCAACAAAACAACAACAAAATCAAGCATTGTTAAAAAGGTATAAAAGCAGTGATTTTAATAGCATGCATGAGTGTGTTTACCAGAGTGTTGTAGAGACTGATGTCCGCGCCTCCAGCTGACTCTCTCGGTGCCGGAACTTGACGATGGGCACCTTGGCTGTGGGGATGGCCACCACCTGGTACAGGCCCCTGTGCTCTTTTAGCTTCTTGGCTAGCTTCTCTATTATCTCTGTGCACTTTACATCCTGAAACAAATCTAATACTTGGAACAGGGCTCCAGATAATTTTTCAACGTCAGGAGTACGTACTCCTTATTTGTTCAATATTGAGTACTGGAAAACCTTAAGCGTACATTTAGTGTACTGAATGGAAGCTAATGGACTATCAGTAATCTTGTGTTTCGTTTCATATATGCACCACAAAATTGCTACCTTTGTGTAAACAGGTCAATAAACAATAAAACAATACTTTTTTTCAGATAAATACGTCTGTAAGTGATTCTAAGACCGTACACCATTGCTGAGGTGCGTATCTGCTACGTTTTCTAAATTATTTCCTACCGTATCGTGCATATTTTTATCCGTACATACACCGATACGGCCCTATCTGGAGCCCTGTTGGAAGGTGTCCCACTTGCAGGACAGAATCAGTCTTATCCCTATCTCTTCCTCAATTTCCCCAAACGTTCATGTATCATGAACCATTTCACTTCAACATTTCCACTGCAGTACACTTTGGAAACAGAAAAGCCCATATTTCTATCTACCTTTGGTTCTAAGAACATCCTGACAAAGATTACTGAGAATCTCCAAACCTATTCAATTCTTAATGTGTAAACAACAAACCTTTGCACTGTTGTATTGGTTGAAGGTCATGCAGATGTCAAGGTCACTCATCCTAAAGCCAAATCCATTACAGGAAGAACCAAATAATCGGAGAATCACACCTAAAAAACAAACAGACAGAAACATAGAAAACTAACATTTGTTTTATGATGATCAGGATAATAATCGAAATACCTGCCAGCCCGACCGCCCGGACTGGTTATTTTCAACACGGACTGCCAGATTCTCACATTTACCTGCCCGACTGTCAGGTTAAAACTTAGACATGTATATATTAGTATTTTTTGTGGGAAGGTAAGTTTTGGTCAGGGCTGGCACGTTTTACATCTAACCAGCCCTGTGGTCTGGCTGAAATGTTTGGGAGTGGCATACCCTGATAATGCAGACCATCAGGTACATAAATATAAGACACACACCTAACTTGAAAAGGATTAAGTCAATAGCAGAGTGGTAAGGGCAAGATAATGTAAAAAGCTCCCAATAAATAGTTGTACAAGTGTGATGTGATTATATCCCTCTCACTAATTAGTGTCACTACCAAAACTACATAGCGTGCAAATATAATTCCTTTGCTGAGTGTTTGATTAAACAGGACCTTAAAACTCCCACTTGATAACTCTGCTGGTTGGGGATAACAGACAGAAACAAGTAACCCGAGACAAGGAGTTTTCCAGATGCAAAACGTCTCCCATGCATAAACAAACCATTAATGGAAACATTAAAACTATCACTGGGATCAACATAATCAGCTATATCAAACTGGACAATGACAATTTGTTTGTTTTATTTGCTGTTGAACTCAGCAATATTTCAGCTATATGGCGTCAATCTATAAATAATCGATAATTGTAAACATTAATGCAGGAAATGTAAAGTACATGTAGTTCCCTTCCTTACCTGGATAGAGCTGACGAATGAAGTCCTGTAGCTCATGCAGTATGTAGTCCCGTTGTTTCATTTCTTTATTTGTTGGGCCAAAATCTCCTTAAGTAGAACATCAGATATTGATTCATTGTCTACAATGATTTAAGCACAAGTTCTAAAACAGTAAGCACATGGTCTAAGTCCTGTACCTCATGCAGTATGTAGTCCCGTGGTTTCATCTCTTTGTTTGTTGGACCAAAATCTCCTTAAGTAGAACATCAGATATTGGTTCATTTGTCTACACATGATTTAAGCACAAGTTCTAAAACAGTAAGCACATGGTCTAAGTCTGATTTACTGATGTGTAAACACAAAACCATAATAACTAACACAGTTCAATCTCAAACAGGGTAAAACACTGAATCTTACAATATATTGAAGGATCATTTGCTTTTCCACAAAGGCAAAGATAACCATATTATCATTAACACAAAAATCACCTTGCAGAATTGAGCTGTCACCAAGTTGCACATAATTCGCAGTACTGGCATCTGGCCCTGTAATTAAGCTATAAAGCCACTAGACTAAACTCATAGTGCCGATATTTGGCCCTGAAACTCGGCTATAAACATGATAAAGCCACTAGACTCAATTCATAGTGCCAATATTTGGCCCTGAAACTCGTCTATAAAGCCACTAGACTCAACTCATAGTGCCGATATTTGGCCCTGAAACTTGTCTATAAAGCCACTAGACTCAACTCATAGTGCCGATATTTGGCCCTGAAACTCGTCTATAAAAGCCACTTGACTCAACTCGTAGTGCTTGTATTTGGCCCTGGAACTGAGCTACCAGTTCGACTGAACCCATGGTACCATTATCTGTCTGAGTCGCAAACTCACTTGGAACTTGTTCAATGGTGACAGAAAGCATCTTTGTAAAGACTTTTTTGGCGGGAGGAAGGGTTACTAGTTTTGGCAACTGGTCCTCAGGACAGGCAGACTTTAAATGACCTTCCTTCTCACAGTAACCACAGATGATTGCAGGGCCCTGGAAACACAGAGTAAGCAAGGTTTGTGTTATGTTTCCGTCTTCCACTCCTACACATTCAGGGATCTAAGGAGCGGTAGAGTAGCCTAGTGGTTAAAGCGGTCGCTCTTCATGCCAAGGACCCGGGTTCGATTCCCCACATGGGCACAATGTGTGAAGCCCATTTTTGGTGTCCCCCGCCATGATGTTGCTGGAATATTGCTAAAAGCGGTGTTAAACCAACCATACTCACTCACTCACTCAGGGATCTGAAAATCCTAACCAACCAAGGATTGTTTGTTGCATATTGACATATTTGCAAAATCAATCCATATTACATCAGCATTCAAATAATTAAGTCTGGATCAGACAAGCAACAAGCTTGTAGTTACTAGTACAGGTATACTGTAGCACAGGCAAACTGTGGTGCAAATAGGGTTGTGCAACTAAGAGAAAATTACCAGTCTTCCTATATGCTAGCGAAGCGAGCAATGGTTGGCAACGTACTTCCCATTTCCTCACAGGGTTGTGCTCTCAGATTTCCAACCTCATATTTAATAATAACTCACGTAAAACATATTTAATTCAACATTTTAAGCGCCACCCATGCCATATCAAACCGTTCTTCGCATCCATTACGCATGCCAGCTTCTGGTTCAACGGAGTGAAGGAACAAGAATAAGCAGAAATTAAGTAGAAATATCATATGGCCTAATTTTATCATTAAACTGTTGGAGATTATTTTTCTTTTCAGCCGTCCTTATTGTTAGAACCTCCGTAATATTTATTCTACTAAAAACACTTCTGGCGTAGTGGGCGAAAAAGGCAGGGGAGGTAACTGCACAAGTATTTGATATGGTGGACATGTGATTCAACAAGTATATTTAGATTTAAGTCCCCTGTTCCTTCACTCCGTTGAACCGGAAGCTGGCAGGGGTAATGGAGGCGAAGAACGGTTTGATATGGCATGGGTGGTGCTTAAAATGTTGAACTAAATATGTTTTACATGAGTAATTATTAAATATGAAGTTGGAAAACTGAGAACACAACCCTGTGAGGAAATGGGTGTCTACCTTTGATGGTGGCGATATTGTATTTTGATATTTCGGAACCGAAGCGAGGGAAGTACGTTGCCAACCATTGCTCGCATCGCTAGCATATAGGAGGACTGGTCACTTTCTCTTTGTTGCGCAACCCTATTTGCGCTACAGTTTGCCTGTGACTGTAGTATACATGTAATCAAACAAGTCACCAAGCCTGACCACAAGATCCACATGGTTGCCTCATATGACAAGCATCACCATCGATCTCTGTATCTCAAAGAAATGACTTATGTCAAAACATTTCCATCCCCAAATTACCCACAACAGGCAAGTAGGGTCAACAATGGATCTACATTAGTGATATAATATCTCAAGTCTAAATTAGCTTGTCGACCCTAGTTCAGTTCCCATCCATGGAAACAATGTGTGAGAACAATGTCTGCTGTTCCCAGCTGTGATATTGCACAATATTGCAAGGAGCAATGAAAAATCTTACTTGTTCACTCATTCACAATTTACAGTTTCTAAATGATTTGACTACTCAAAATTCATTGCCCAGCACAACAGAAGAAGATCATTAAAGTTCAGGAGCAACATGGTTTCATATCAAAGGAGCATAAATCTTTTGAGAGGTATAAATATTATTAATGTGACAAGCTACCTTGTCTAAAGGATTCAAAAAGTCTTCCAGTCTTGATGATACATCACCAAACATTGTTATGTAATTCCGTACAATATCGATGAATCTAAACTCTCACCTTGCCATCAGTTAGAATTTTTGCTGTAAACTCATAGAAACACTCCTTATCCTCCAAGTTCAGTTCCTTTAGCACCGAGTCAACTAAAATGGGTCCAGATTTAGTTTCATTCACAGACTGTTCGCTCTCCTTTATCACAGAAGTTGTCTCCCCTTGGCACTTGTCCTCACCATCACACCTACCCTTTTCCTCACCCTGGGACTTACTTGGCACATCTGACGTACAAGTCTCACTTAGGGTATCACTAGAAGATACAGCTAGCACAGCACTCTGAACCACCTTCAAAGCAAAGTCCCTGGCGAAGGTGTGAATGTCTGCATCCACCGGTTTCTCTTGAAGGTTTTCCAGAGACATTTGACTAACACCTGCTGATATGATGGATGAGTCCTCCTCACACAATGTGCTAACCGAGCTACAGCTCTCGTTCACTGAAGGGGATAGCAATGTGTCAGAAAGTTGTCTCTCGGGGGAGGATTCCCCTTCGCCTGTCGTGACGTCTGATGCTTCATGGTCGTCTGGTTCAACACTGGAGTCGCGGGCGGCATCTGTGTCATCATCCGTGTCGTCTGCGTCCGCAGAAGCAAACTCACCCAGATGCTTCTTCTTGCCCCTGGATTTCTCCACGATACCAGAGAGAACTTCATTGCTGATAAGAGATCCTCCTTCTTTACTCCTGGGAAGACCAAAGTAGTGGTAGGCTTTCCGAAGACTGTCTTGGAAATATTCGTATATCTTGGTGTTACTCACAGTCCTAGCCACATTCCTCTTCTGGGAAAATGGATCTGATGCAGACAAAGAGCATAAGTAATACAGGGCACTGTAGTAACTAATACAGGGCATTAGAGTAACTAATACAGGGTACTGAAGTAACTAATACAGGGGACTGTAGTAACTAATACAGGGCACTGAAGTAACTAATACAGGATACTGTAGTAACTAATACAGGGTACTGTAGTAACTAATACAGGGTACTGTAGTAACTAATACAGGGTTTCTGTAGTAACTAATACAGGGTTTCAGTAGTAACTAATACAGGGTACTGAAGTAACTAATACAGGGCATTACAGTAACTAATACAGGGTACTGAAGTAACTAATACAGGGGACTGTAGTAACTAATACAGGGCGCTGTAGTAACTAATACAGGGCATTACAGTAACTAATACAGGGCACTGAAGTAACTAATACAGGGGACTGTAGTAATTAATACAGGGTTTCTGTAGTAACTAATACATGGCACTGTAGTAACTAATACAGGGTACTGTAGTAACTAATACAGGGTACTGTAGTAACTAATACAGGGTTTCTGTAGTAACTAATACATGGCACTGTAGTAACTAATACAGGGTACTGTAGTAACTAATACAGGGGACTGTAGTACTGACTGACTGAGTTTGGTTTTACGCCGCTTTTAGCAATATTCCAGCAACATCACGGCGGGGGACACCAGAAATGGGCTTCACACATTGTGCCCATGCGGGGATTCGAACCCGGGTCTTCGGCGTGACGAGTCAACGCTTTAACCATTAGGCTACCCCACCGCCCCGGGGACTGTAGTAACTAATACAGGGTTTCTGTAGTAACTAATACATGGCACTGTAGTAACTAATATAGGGGACTGTAGTAACTAATACATGGCACTGTAGTAACTAATATAGGGGACTAGTAACTAATACATGGCACTGTAGTAACTAATACAGGTAACTGTAGTAACCAATACATGGCACTGTAGTAACTAATACAGGGTACTGTAGTAACTAATATAGGGGACTGTAGTAACTAATACATGGCACTGTAGTAACTAATATAGGGGACTGTAGTAACTAATACAGGGGACTGTAATAGATGTAATCAATTTATCTTAAATACATAACAGTTGAAGATAGAGAACTGATCTGGTTTCACATTAGAAAAAGTGTAAGATATTTCAAAATGTGAAATCTGAAAAAGGAGACTTTTGGAATAACTTTGACATCAATGGTAAGATAAAAACCTACTTCAGTAGCTAAGCTTTCACAGAGGTTGATGTCTCCAGAATGCTAGATAATGACATAAGCTCATGATGGTCAACTACACTGATCTATTCTTCAGACAGGACAACTATATACATTCTCTCTAAGAGTACTGCGATAAGAAAGGGGCAAAACTATCAATTAGTTCCAGCAATAATCTGAGTTTGTCAATGTTACTGGAATATCAACATTACCTTCAATGGCTAGTTTCTTGGAGTTCCATTTCTTCTCTGCTCGAGCTAGCATCTTCTGTTGCCTCAGACACACAACAAACATGGCCGTGTCAAAGCCAAGGCTGAAATATCTGAGAACCTCAAGCCATAGTGTCCCAAGAGAACTAGTGTTCTTGCTCTTCCAACCCTGTGCCTGAAGAACACAACAGAGTTATGAATAGGCCAAGCTAAGGGAGATAATTCTTCCTCTTATCAAATGTTATTCCTTTAACTCTATCTCAGAATATGAATCCCAGTGAATGTCTTTTGTATTCACATGGAGTCAAAGGGAACACTTCTCTTTAATGGTCATCTTATCCACGATAGATGAATTAACTTACCAACTACTTGATGACAACTTCATCCTTTTAATGATAACCCCCACTGCCCTATTATGACCTCAACTCCCTAATGACAACCCTAAATCCCTAATGGCAACCCTGAATATCAAATGAAACTGTCACTACCTAATGACAACCCTGAATATCTAATGACAACCCTGAATATCTAATGACAACCCTAAACATCTAATGACAACCTTCACTACCTAATGACAACCCTGAATATCTAAAGACAACATTTACTACCTAATGACAACGCTGAATATCTGATGACAAGTTTCACTACCTAATGACAACCCTGAACATCTGATGGTAATATTCACTACCTAATGACAACCCTGAATATCTGATGGTAATATTCACTACCTAATGACAACCCTGAATATCTGATGGTAATATTCACTACCTAATGACAACCCTGAATATCTGATGGTAATATTCACTACCTAATGACAACCCTGAATATCTGATGGTAATATTCACTACCTAATGACAACCCTGAACATCTGATGGTAATATTCACTACCTAATGACAACCCTGAATATCTGATGGTAATATTCACTACCTAATGACAACCCTGAATATCTGATGGTAATATTCACTACCTAATGACAACCCTGAATATCTGATGGTAATATTCACTACCTAATGACAACCCTGAATATCTAATGACAACCTTCACTACCTAATGACAACCCTGAACATCTAATGACAACCCTGAATATCTTATGACAACATTCACTACCTAATGACAACCCTGAACATCTAATGACAACCCTGAATATCTCAACACAACATTCACTACCTAATGACAATCCTGCCTACCCAATGAAAACCCTGACTACCCAATGACAACCCTGAATATCTAATGACAACCTTCACTACCTAATGATAACCCTGAATATCTAATGACAACATTTACTACCTAATGACAACCCTGAATATCTGATGGTAATATTCACTACCTAATGACAACCCTGAACATCTTATGACAACCCTGAATATCTTATGACAACATTCACTACCCAATGACAACCCTGAATATCTAATGACAACATTTACTACCTAATGACAACCCTGAATATCTGATGGTAATATTCACTACCTAATGACAACCCTGAATATCTTATGACAACATTCACTACCCAATGACAACCCTGACTACCCAATGACAACCCTGAATATCTAATGACAACATTTATTACCTAATGACAACCCTGAATATCTAATGGTGGAGCATGGTCCTGTGCACAGAGCTCAGGTCACGAATCAGTTGAAGTTAAGCAACGTCGAGCTCGGACAATCCTTGGATGGGTGACCGTGTTTGGCAGCTTGACTCCTGAGAGTTTCTAGGACTTCAGTCATGCCCCACAACGAAGCACATGTGATACATGTGGTCTCACCTTAGGCAAGTGAGTTTGCTCAAATTGCCTCTGTTCACACAGCAGAAAATGGGTACCCGTTTGCATAAAGTCATGTGACTATAACCTTCTAGCGCCTAACAGGCAGCTTGGGTTATCCGGGGTAATAAGAATCCGATTCTGATTAAGCGCAGCGAGCAATCACTTCGTGTTTGGATGCTGTGCGCTATAGAAGATGACTTATTAATAATGTAATTTTTAGAGTAAAATTGATATTTTATACTTATCCTGACTCATGCTCTTTTGCTTGTCTTCTTCTTCTTGCGAACATAGTGGAAACACTTGTATCTCCTTAATTGAAGCTCCCTTCAATGTAAAATCACTAATTAGTACTCACCACGAGTTGCTCCCCTTTAATCCCTTTTGGCGGGAAAGGTGTCGCCACCTTACACCTCGTGCTTCACTCTCTCCTGATTTTGCGAGCCCAACACTTGAATTTACAGGGAAATCCAAAGTGTTATGTGGGGAGGATGGGAAGGCTGACCTCATGAGTCAGGATAAGTATAAAATATCAATTTTACTCTAAAAATTACATATTTTTTCCTTATCCTGACTCATGCTCTTTTTGCTTGTAGAATCCTAATGGAACGGAGGAGGAGTAATAGAATACTTTGGATTTATAATTAGTGATTTTGTATAAATATAACTGTAATAACTGGTATGGGAACTTCATGAAGGCATTGACTTAGGATATTTCCTGTATATAAACCATAGGTTATATAATGCCTAAATTGGGTATTACATTGATATATATTGAAAAAAACCATTACATATATTATATATATATATAAGTGACTCTGAAAGAGTCGCTGTACAACTAAAGATAATATCCATATATACTTAGGGGTGAATGACCTAAGCTAAATATATATACATAGCTCTAGAACTCCTTAGAGTTATAAGCTAGCTAAATTATGTATATAATACATATTAAACTTGTGATGATAATATTTTAACGCCTACGAGGGACTGTCAGCTGTTGAGCGAGGACCAAAGGGCCGAAATGGTGAATGCCAGAGACATCTTCTGTGGTGATGTCTCTCAGGTAGTGATTCGCAAACACCATGTTCGATTTCCAAAAGCATCCTTCCATAATTGTGTTCAATGAACAGTTACCGTGCAGGGCGAGGGTGGAAGCCAGTGCCCTAATCTCATGGATTTGATGCTGTTGGTGGGTCCAAGCCTGCTGCCTTGTAGGCGTAAAATATGACAGTCCTTATCCAAATAGATATGGTAGTGCGAGACTTCTGTTTGATTCAGTTGGCATAAGGGGATGAATAATCTTTGAGAAATCTTCAGCCTTGTTTTGGATCGTCGTGACGAACTTTGAGAGCTCTGACTGGACACAGTGATAAGTCTTGTGTATCTTGTGATCCGAGAATCGAAGATAGCTGGTACATGGAATAACCTGTCTGGTTGACCTGGTAGTTGATTTTTTGCGATGAAATCCCATCTTAATCCCAGGTGCTTATGTTTTGATTGTCATCAAACTGTATCCTCTCGTAATCCAGAGCGTGAATTTCAGATATTCTTGCTGCCGTGGCTAGAGATAGCAGAAATAGTGTTTTCTGTGAGAGAAATTCAAAGTTTGACGATTCCAAAGGTTCATAGGCCTCACTAGTGAGGTGTTGTAACACTACATTCAGATCCCAAGCTGGGGCGTGGAACTTCGCTTTTGGTCCTCCAATCGAAAGCACGTAGTAAGGCCAGTAACTCTGGAGATTTTGTCAGCTTGACACCCGCTCTCATAGTGATCACAGAGCTAAGCTGCAAGATATGTTGATATCGTCCGAACCTCTTAAATGTTTGTTTTGCCAGCAGGTAACACAAATAGTCTGCCACTTGAGGATGTGAAGCATCTCGCTGTAAATCCTTTATTAGCTGCATAATTTTCAAAACTGTGCCACTTGTCGTCGCATTGCCACGAAGTCGAAGTGTCGTAAGGCAAGCGTGACCGCTTTTGCCGCCCTGGCAGAATATCCTCTCTTGTTTAAACACATTTGTATACAGTCCATAATGCGAAGTTGGTAAACTTCTGGGTTTCCGCACTTGTTTTGTGTGTGGATGTATTAACAGGTTTGAGCTTGGGTAGCTCTAATACTGGTTGACCGATTCCTTGAATTAGCATGGGAAACCATACTCTGGCTGGCCAGTAGGGCTGACCAAAGTGAGTTGTAGATTCTGTGTTTGTTTGATTTTCTGTAATACTTGAGGTATTATTGCTGGCGCTGAAACGCTGCAGCGTTGAGGCCTTCCCATGATATACTTAGAGCGTCCGCTTCCCAAGCTTGTGGATCTGGGATTGGTGACACGAATGTCGGTAGCTGATTGTTGAATCTTGTGGCTTAATAGATCTATTAGCGGCGCTGCTAACGGCTTGATTATCTGTGCAAATATTTCCAGCATTGAGCATCCACTCTGTCGGTGATGGTAGATGAGGCCGGTGAAAGCTGTCTGCTAGTACATTTTGGCTCCGAATGTGAACTGCTCTGATCTGTAGATTTAGATCGTGGGTTAGATCGAATAGTTGAAAGCTTAAGTTCAAAAGGTTCAGTGATCTCGTTGAGCCTTGCTTGTTTACGAGAACGCCACTGTGGAATTGTCGGTATGAATCATAAGGTGCGATTTTGTAGAAATGTGCTCCAATGTAGAATGGCGTTGATTACAGCTTTCATCTCTAGGATGTTTATATGGAGTTTGCTTTCTTGTTGGTTCCATAATCCCGATAGTCGCCTGGTTGGCGAGATGAGCTCCCCAACCTTGAAGTGACGCGTCCACATATAGATGGGTTTTGAATTCCTGCTCTGCTAAACAAATCCCTTCGCAGACATTCGATTTCTTTGTCCACCATAGTAGATGAGGTCTGAGATGTTTCGGTAGACTGAATGGCTGTAAATCGTCGAGATGTGCATTGATGAAGACCTGTAAGGGACGTTAACTGTAACCTGCCTCTGACTGTCATGTCTTGGGCTGATGTGAGGAGACCTAGGAGGCTCTGCCATTGTCGAAGTGGTAACGGAGAGCATAGAGCTGGTTGAATGGTCTGTTGGATCTTGATCCAACGGTCTTCTGGTACGACGATACGGTTGAGATTTGTGATAAATCGAATGCCTAGGAACTGTAGGTCTTGTGACGGTACTAGGTCTGACTTGAGTAAGTTTACTAACCATCCTAGCTGTGTTAGTAGCTTTATCGGTCTTCCATCATCGTCATAATTTGCTGCATCAGGTCATCAGGGATGGTCTGCGACGATGTTGTCTGAGCCTTCTCTGCGGAGTTAATGATGGGTTCCACAGCAATAACGTCTGACATCAGTGTAGAGGCATCAGGCTGCATGAAGATCTCTGCTGAAGTCACTGTCGCTGACACCGGCCGCTTCTTGTGCCGTATGTCGGGGATGATAATCGGCTGGTCATCGTAGAGGCCCATTTCTTCGCTGGAACGATCTCGGCTGAGAAAGTTCTCGCTGTTTTCGTAGACTTTCCTTTGGATGTCGACGCTGCCCTGGGGGTACGAAGTCTGCGTTGAGAAGACGTCGAGGCCCTCTTGGACTTTAGCTGCGATGACGGGATGTCTGGGGAGGCCGGTCGCTTCTTAGAGGTGACGGATCAAGCGCCCCACGCCCCTCTTCCGATGGGGTCTCTAGCAGAACACCAGACGGTAGGGGTCGATCGCCAGCAGCTGACTAGATGGAGTTTCTGGAGTATCAGCCATATTTAGCCCTTGTTTGGCGTGACATATCTGCAGCACGCCTTAAGACGCAAAGATAGTATTTATTAAATGCAGAATTAGATAAATCAATGCAATAACTGTAACGCGAATCAAACGCACGGCGGAGAACAACTAGGGCATATTACATGCGGATCTGAGGCAGAAAAACGTAATCTACAAATAGTACAGATTTTCATCAACGTAATACTAGCTGAACAATCACTTAATACACGTGAATAAACAGTAGAAATACGATAAATAATCAATACAAATTACTGAAGGATACTAGCTATACCTCTATAGTACACTATAAGAAGTAATAAACTAAGAAAAATCAAAGGATATGTTGTGTAAGGAGACACAGGCGCTCTCGCATCCTGCTCACTGGGCGAAGAAGGAGAGAGTGAAGCACGAGGTGTAAGGTGGCGACACCTTTCCCGCCAAAGGGATTAAAGGGGAGCAACTCATGGTGAGTACTAATTAGTGATTTTACATTGAAGGGAGCTTCAATTAAGGAGATACAAGTGTATCCACTATGTTCGCAAGAAGAAGAAGACAAGCAAAAGAGCATGAGTCAGGATAAGGAAAAATTTATTATTATTAATGACAATATTCACTACCTAATGACAACCCTGAATATCTAATGACAACATTCACTACCCAATGACAACCCTGAATATCTAATTACAACATTCACTACCTAATGACAACCCTGAATATCTAATGACAACATTCACTACCTAATGACAACCCTGAATATCTAATGACAACATTCACTACCTAATGACAATCCTGACTACCAATGACAACCCAAATGACAACCTTGACCGTAACTCCCTAAATGCCAATCCCGGAACACAAAGTACAAGAAGAACTCACTTCCTCTTGCATCCTCTCCACCCATGCGTTGGACACATCAGTGTCGATATTCTTAGGTAGATTCTGTAAAATGACAAGCAGTTAGGTAAATGATATACAAACACCTGTCTGTAATCGAACCTAAAAAGACCAGTGATTAATGGAATAGAAGGAAAGTCCAGATAGTTATGTGGAATCCATATGCACATACACGGGACTATGCTCTATTTTGGTTTCAGTCAAGACCCTATAACCACAATGACATTCTACGGAGAAGTCCTCATATTTTAACACAGAAAGGTATCGTATTTCATTCTTTTTAAAGTGATTGTTGTTAAAGGTGAATTCTGTTAATATGTAACATGATCATCCCCTAGATCAGTTATTACGCAAAGGAACTGATTTCAATATATTTCGCATTTTAATCGTATAAAAATGGCCAGCATACATTTTAAATCTTAATAGCTCCATAAACACAAAACCATATTCCAATATAGGTCAATTCCTATATCACTCAACAGACTGCTCATCTACTCTTTAACATACAGAAGTGAGTAAGAATGAAATCAGTGACAGTGCTCAGAGGGATAATACAACACAAGCCCCGCCCATTCTGTTATCAGGAAACAGTAGTCATCCAGTGACATGGCTTAATTCTTTTTCTGCATAACAAATTGTTTGGTCATATGGGGTGAGGTGAGGTGAGGTGAGGTGAGGTGAGGTGAAATTGGGTTTAACGTCGTGCTTGAGAATTTTTTTCGCTCATATGACGACGTGCATGCGTGTGTATGTGTATGTGCAGCTGCTTGTACTAGCCCAGACTGAAGCTGGTTTTATAGTGCTAGCCCACTGAGATACCATGCCACAGTGAATCATGAATACCCCACTCAGACACATTATACTGACGCCGAGCCGTTGTACCCATCAATGCCGAGCGCCAGGCAGGGACCAACAAGTACCATATTTGAATGTCTTTTGGTATGACGCGGTCGGGGATCGAACCCTCGACCTTCCGCTCTCCGGGCGGACGCTCTAACCACTACACCACGGAGGAGGTCTTTGGTCATATGGACTTGCAAAGGGAAATGAAACTAGTTGTTAAGGACATAGCAGTAAATAAGTGAGTGAGTATGGTATTACATCGCTTTAGCAATATTCCAGCAATATCACGGCTGGGGACATGGCAGTAAATATCAGACAGTACTGACCGATGCCAAAACAGGTAAAATTGGTTGCTGCAGTTGTTGGAGGAAGAAGACAGTCATCAGAGCTGTGGCATAAGCAGGCAGGGTGCCTTCACTCTGGACATCAAGGCGGCAAACCTGAAACAGCCATCTCATCCAATTATGGACACAATTTGTTCCAACCAATTAATCATTGATTAGACAAAGGTGCTAATTCTAAAGAACCATTTTCACAAGGAATTTAACATTTAAGAATCACAGTTGAAAAGTGACAAAGCTGACTGGTTTGCCATTAATGTGATGTAACTTGTGCCTACCTTGGCCCAGTATCTAAATGCAACAGCCAGTTTCCTGACTCTTGGGTCCATCTCACTGTATACTGCTAGAAGCTGACTGGTGGCTGTCGCTGGCCGACTGTTGATCGTCATCTTACACTCCAGTTTTGTGTCTGGGTCAACAAAGACACAAGCAGGCACCTTGGCCGAGAAGTCGCTGTGTACATTCATGAATTGATCCTCTGAAAATAGGTTAGTTGTGACAACATCTCTGAATACAGTACGTCCATCATATCACAGTGTGACCTCTCAATTTGAAAAAAAAGCCCTAAGGACATGGATCTTTACAACTGATGTGAAGTCCAGTATAGAACAAATTTTATGTATAACAACTTCTTTTATTTGTGAGTGCAATGTTTCGATACAGATTCTTGTACCATTGTTAAATAGGACAATGGTTCACAACGGTACAAGAATCTGTATCGAAATGTTGCACTCACAAATAAAAGAGGTGAGGTGAAATTGGGTTTAACGTCGTGCTTGAGAATATTTCGCTCATATGACGACGTGCATGCGTGTGTATGTGTATATGCGGCTGCTTGTACTAGCCCAGACTGAAGCTGGTTTTATAGTGCTAGCCCACTGAGATACTATGCAGCAGTGAAGCATGAATACCCAACTCAGACACATTATACTGACTCCGAGCTGACTCCTTGTTGTACCCATTAATGCCGAACGCCAGGCAGGGACCAACAAGTACCATATTTTAACGTCTTTTGGTATGACGCGGTCGGGGATCGAACCCGCGACCTTCTGCACTCCGGGCGGACGCTCTAACCACTACACCACGGAGGCGGTCAATAAAAGAAGTTGTTATACATAAAGTTTGTTCTGTATTTCACTTCCCAACTTCCAAAATGCCACTCACAGAAGTTATGTTGTAAAGTCCATGAGCAGGTATAGTGGTAACAAATCAGAGTTCACCTGACATCTGAATTTGTGGTCCTGAGACAGCATCAGGACCCCTACTCCACTCGAAACAATTCAAAAAACATGTATTCTTAATTTATTGTCCACAACATTTTACTTAGGTCTTGTTGGCTGGTTTAGTGGTTCCATCAGCAGTACTAAAAGATCCAGTGCGTACCAGACATTCATCATGAGCGTTGATGTTTTTGAGATACAATACATCAACCAGTTCAGAGAGTCAGACCACAAAGTCCCCTCATTCCCCCATTCTAACCGGGACCTTCATGGCTTCTTCTTTAATGCAACCAATAAATAAATAATAAAGAAGCATTCAAACATAAAAAAAAAAAAAAGTCATCTGTTACGTTTGAGACTTGAGATCTTTACCTGCAGTTTTAAGAATGTCGAAAATCTGTATCAGCTTTTTGGGCAGACCTTCCATATCCTTGGAGTAGAGATCAATGTTGATATCACTGGACTTGAGGCCGAAGCCAGTGAGAGACGACCCATACATCTGGAGGGACACTCCTGAGACAGCAAGGATACAGGTACTACAAGACATGCTACATGGTGACAGGACTGTTAACATCAGAAGAAACTACTGTCAATACATCCTAGTGAGTGAGTATGATTTTACTCCGCTTTTAGCAATATTCCAGCAATATCACAGCAGGGAACACCAGAAATGGGTTTCACACATTGTACCCATGTGAAGAATCAAACCTGGGTGTTCGACTTGACCAGCCAACGCTTTAACCACTAGGCTACCCCACCGCGCTCAATACACCCTAAATACGTATCGCTCACCCCTCAAAGTAAGGATATTCAGCCCCAGGTCTGGAGTAAATGCCACTGAAAATTCCCAAACTGGTATCAAAAATTGCCCATGTCATGTAAAAACTACATGTAGTAACTCATTTTATGGCTTTCCAGACTTAAGCTGAACTTCCCTAATACCAGCCTAATACCAAGGAAGAGGTTTTAATGTTTAGTTTTATATGCCACTACTGAATACTATCTTAAAAGGCAATGTCAAAATACCCCTCAATGTATTATTTTTTATACAAATGATATACTTATTCTGACTCATATCTGCTTCTCTCTCCTATTGCCCGAGATATAGTGGAAACCTCTGTGTCTATGTTCCCAAGAAGAGTAAAAACATCTCACCCCCGTGACAGTGCTGTGAATCATCACTCTCTCCATTTTCGAAGCCAAATTTATAGAAAAATTGTGCCAAAATTAGTGGAGACGGCTGGGAAGGCATACGGCTACGAGTCAGGGTAAGTATAAATATCATTTTATAAAAAACAAGAAGACAAAGTCATCAATATCTCCCGCAATGGCAAAATACTCTTCATGAATATGTCTACTATTTATGATTATGTTTTGGTGTGTATATAGAAAGGTGGAAGGAGAGTATTGAAAGGTTTTAAAAGTTCTGCTCCAGAAAGGAGCACTACCACCAGTTTCAGTCTAAGTCAAACTTGTTGGCATGGAAATGCAAAGATATTTTATTCAGAAACCCAAAACTACCAAAAGGCACCAGTACACCACTAGACCATTCTATGTGCTATGTTTGGTGAAGAGAACGCACAAAAGAGCCACCAATTTCAGTCTAAGTCAAACTTGTTGCCATGGAAACGCCAAAAATATTTAATTCAGAATACCAAAACTACCAAAAGGCACCAGGATGCCACCAGATTTATCCATGTGCCAAGTTTGGTGAAGAAATATTGAACGGTTTTAAAGTTCTGCTCCAGAAAAGACAAATGTGCACTGACACACGGACGCACGGACGGAGTCCATTTTAATACCCCCTGCAAAACGCGTTGCGGGGGATAAAAAAAAATACATATTTTTCCTTATCCAGACTCATATTTATATGCTTGAATCCAACGGACAGGTGGTGGGTCAGCCACCTAATTTTGTATTCTCCAGTACTGTTCATTCATACTGTAAAACCCCTGGGAACTCATAATGTGCTTGATGTAGATGAACGGGGTACCACTTTCTTTTGTTCAAAAAGAAGTAAATCATTTGATTTTGTGGATTTTAAGACATGCACGGAATTTTCATTCCTGCTTGTCTTGGTCCAATCCATATGTTAAGAATAGGTCGTAAACTTAACTGAATCGTATCACTCATGCTCTGATTTATCTTGTAAACCAGGTGGACATGGACTCTGTTGGTGGTTATGGAACAGTAGCCTGACGTCAACGAGTGTGCATGATTTTCGGGTGAGTTCTTATCTTCTTGTTGGTATTGTCAATTGTTGCGCTACAACCAAGGGGTTGAACCAGTGTATACTCTCGACATCTTCCGTGGCGAAGTCTCTGAGATAGTGGTTGGCGAACACAGTATCTGATTTCCAGAAGCATCCCTCCATAATAGATGAGATCAAGCAGTTGCCATTGTAGATGCTATGGCTCTGACTTTATGCGGATTGGATGCCCTTGGAGGATCTATGGCTGCCGCCTTGTAGGCTCTCAGAATCACTGCTCTCACCCCTTTATTGTCATAAAGACTTCTAGCAGATCTTCTCAAGGCTAAAGAGATGGCTGCTCTAGTTGAGTACCCTCTTTTGGTAAGGCAGTTCATAATATGTTCAATGCGTGAAGCTCGAAGACCTCCGGTTATGTGGATGTAGAAGGTGGTTTGACCAGTTTTAGACTTGGTTTTCCAGTTACCGCCATCAGGTCTGGAAACCACGTTCTGGATGGCCAGTAAGGTGCTACCAATGTCAGTCTCAGGTTCCTTTTTTTGCTCAATCTTTTCTATATCTTTATTGGTGGAGGGGACATATATGCTTGAAGACCTTCCCAGGATAATGCTATGCATATTGACGGTCCATACCAACAGCGTCTTCAAATAAGACAGTCAATGTTCTTCACTGTCGAATCTGGTAGCTTAGATGTGTTCTAATGCTGGTAGATCTCTTCAAAATTATGAAGTAGGAACTCTAAACTTAGCTAAACCTGTAGAGGTTTCCAATTCTTGGGGTACATATATGCATTTTCTGCAGCTGAAAATGTCATGTGACAGTTGTATCAATGTTTTAATAAAAATATTGTACAATAAATAAAAATCTTTTTATCTATTATACGCCCCGACCACGTGGAGTTACCTCCCTGCTACACATGCGCAGCCAACCAGGTAAGCACCTAGGCCCGTAGCATCATTCCTTCTGCAGAATAAATCAGTGAACAGAATTGCGGGGAGATGGGCGGCCCTACCCCAAGGACGACTCTCTTCAAAGAATTGGAAACCTCTACAGGTTTAGCTAATTCTTTTTCATAGAGATCGACCTTGGGGTACATATATGCATTAACTCAGACTCCCAAACACTGGAGGCCAGGGAGGAGGGAATTCTGTCAAAGTACACATAAATAGCGATCATTAGAAAAAATGTAACAGACGCCACAACACTCATCTGTAACGTGTCCCGAAGATTCCGCGAGAGGCACTATGGGAGGGTAACCGACAGGGAGGATAAGTACTTTGATCAGACCTCATAGGTTAAGCACAGTAATTTGCACACAGTGCGAAAATAATAAACACCGCCCACATCATGATCTATTAGAGAGCACCGTAAGGGGGGAAAACCAACTCACAACCGACCATAATCTCATGAGAGAATCGAAAGGAGTTAGATCACACAACAGCGGATATATCAATAATGCACAATTGAAAGCAGCGTCAACTGTCCAGATAACCAAGACTCACTCGGTCAGGGTGGCAGGACACTGTCCACTGGAGATAACAGAACGGCAAAAACGCGCACAATCACATGAATGTGTATCGAGCTTATAGTGCCTAATAAAAGTGCTAGGCCGGCTCCAAAGAGAGGCAGAGCATATCTCTTCAATGGGTAGTGCCGATGCAAAAGCCTTTGACGTGGCCATTGCCCTGACTGAGTGAGCCTTCAAACCCTCAGGGGGAGGCTTGCCCTGAGCCTGATAAGCAGCACAAATGACCGATACAAGCCAGTGTGATAGGGTCTGTTTGCTCGCCGGCATCCCAGCCTTCCTGCCACCGTAACAGCAGAACAGATGGGTACCCGTACAGATCCCTTGTGTTCGTTTGATATAGACCTTGAGATTCTTCCGGACATCCAACGGGTGAGTGCTCGTTGCAGAGGTCCCCGATGTGGAAGGCTGGGTAAGAGTAGGAAGTTCGATAGGAGCTGTCACATGGAAAGCGTGATCGATATTTGGACGGTAAGTATCCGGGAGGCGAATACTGACATGATCTGGATGGAACACAGTCAGTGCCGGGTCTGCCGACATAGCATGTAAGTCGCCGACCCTGCACCCAGATGTTACCGCCACCAGAAATACAGCCTTCCATGTTAACAACTGAATGGAAAAAGCCGATAGACGTGAGAACGTAGGTCGGGACAGCCAATCTAGCACGATTGACAAGTCCCAAGGTGGGCTGGTTCGCCTGACAGCAGGTCAAACCCGATCCACGCTAGCTAAAAGGCGCTGCATAAGATGGTGCTGCCCCAGAAGAGCACTATTGACAGGGGTGTGAAAAGTGGAAATAGCGGTGGAGTAGCCACGAATGGTCAAAGCCGCCAAGCCTTCTTCCAAACGAGCTTGCAAAAAACTCCAATACTCGGACTAAATCCGCAGAAAAGGGATCTGCAATCCCCCTATCTGAACACCAGCGCGCATAGCAGGACCACCTATCCTCATATTGAACGTTTGTCGAATCCTGCCTTGAAGCCAGAATTGTGACTGCAACAGCTGCAGGAATTCCGCGTGCTTCGAGGCTAGACCAGACAGAGGCCAAACCACCTACTGAATCCTTGGATTGGGGTATGGCACGCCGTTGTGAGGTGAGCCAGAAACCTGAGAATTACCGGAAACCAGCTCTGTGACGGCCATAGCAGTGCCAGTAGCACAAGTAGCCGAACTGGCTGGGTGGACAGCTGGGAGAGGACCCGGGGAATGAGTGGTAGCGGCGGGAACGCCCAGTGCACTTTGCCCGTCCAATCCAGCAGGAAGGTGTCGGAAGCCAACGCCCTCTGGTCCGGTATTTGAGAGCAGAACACGGATATCTGATTTGCCGCCGGATGCAAACAGATCCACCTGGATCGATCCGTACAACTGGGAGATAACTCCAAATATTTGCCGGTCTAGCATCCACTTGTGCGGGGCCAGGATCTGGCGAGAGAGAGCGTCTGCTCGCACGTTCTCCAGCCCCGGGAGATAAACAGGAAGCACATGACAGTCGCACTGGTCACACCAGAGGAGAAATTCCCACGTCTCCCGAAGGAGCGCTAGGGACACCGTGCTGCCTTGCTTCAGGATGTACGTCATGGCCATACGGTTGTCCAACTGAAGACGAACCAGCTGGCCCTGAACATGCTCCCGGAAGCCAACCGCACAGCTCTCAGTTCCAAGATGTTGATGTGAAGGCGGGCTTCGGCTTGGGACAAGAGTCCGGACACAGACATACTGCCCAGAACACCCTCCCAGCCCGTGAGGGACTCATCGGTTTGAACTGTAAGAGCTGTGTCGGGATTTCCAAAGGGATCCCCTTTGAGAGATTCCCGACATTGGTCCACCACTGAAGGTGAGTAGAGAACCACCCAGGGACTGTGAGACACTGCTCCAGATCCTTCGAGTGAGCCCACAGACTCGCCAAAGCTTGCTGTATAGGGCGCATCCTCAACCGTGCCTGCCACACGACAGAGATATCCCACCATATGACCCAGTAGACGGAGCCAAGTCCGCGCTGGTGCCTGGAGCTGGGAGAGGAACGAAGACACCATCTCCCGTACTCTGGTGACCCAGTCGGGCGACAAGGAGACAAGATTCTTGTGAGTTTTGAACCACGCCCCGAGAAAAACCAAGTCCTGGGTGGGTACCAGGTCGGATTTCTTGAGGTTGATGATCCACCCCAGTCGAACTAGAATGTCTATCACCGTATGGGTAGAATCTAGGCTCGCTGGCTGAGTTAGAGCGCTGAGCAACCAGTCGTCGAGGTAAAGGTAACAATGCCTTCCTTGCGACCTTGCGAGGGTAGCTGGCACTAACATGAGCTTGGTGAACACCCTGGGGGCAGTGGATATGCCGAAGGGGAGCAGCGTGAATTGGTAACCCATCCCGTCGTAAGAGAACCGGAGGTACTGCTTGAACGGTGGATGAATTAGCACATGTAGATACGCATCCTTTAGATCGATCGATGAAAGCCAATCGCCGGGCTGAACAGAGGAGATGACCGAGCGAAGTGGTTCCATCTTGAAGGTTGAGAATGGGACTTAACCCGCCGTCCTTGTTCGGAACAAGGACGTACGTGGAATAAAATCCCGCCTGTTCCTCGCCTGGTGGCATGCGCTCTATTGCGGACTTGTCCAGCAAAGCCTGAACTTCGTCTCGCAGCATACCCGCCCTGACCGGACATGACGGCACCGGAGTGCAACGTATGCGGGTGAATTCTGGCGGGCCTCGCTTCCACAGTGGGAGATGGCCAACGCTGTCGTGGAAAGCACCCAAGGGTTGCTGGTAGCCTTCTCCCAGTCCGGGCAGGAATAGAGAGAGGCGGCCCCCCACTGGGACGTGTGGTAAGAGGACGTGAGTGGTCCCTTGCAGATGAACTGACTGGGACGGACCCAAGGCGACAGCCTGTAGGTTTAATGGGAGGTCGGGGCAGACCTCCCGAGACCGCGAAAAGACTGATGGGAGCCAGACGAAGAGGACTGCTCCTTGCCCTTACCTTTGGCGGGACGGCTCCTCCTCCTACCCCTGCCCAGCAGCCGAAGCCAGCCGGCAGACTCGGGCGTAGGTGGCGCCCCAGAGGAGGAACCCACTACGGGAGCGCGGGGGCGAGAAGCCTTAGAGTCCTTGAAGGAGGTAGCTGCCGCAGCAGCCTTCCGAATGACCTGCTGAGCTAGCAAGGTCTGCTGTGTCGCTGCCGAGTAGCGGGACGTACACAGCCACAGCTTGCGCATCCACACCACCGTAGCCGCCGCAGACCACAAAGAGTTGTGTGCTAGGTTGGCCTGCACTTCGGGACAACTGGCGAAGCAGAACAACATGCGGGGACACGTCCCAAGTGCTCCCTTCCGCCTTCAGAGCCGACCTTTGAATAGAGGAAAGGTAGGCCTCATGGATCACCACCCACACCTGCTGCATGGTATTCCGGTAGACTTCCTCCTGATGCATGCAGGAGGGCGCCCGCAAGGGCAAACGGTGGAACTAAGCGCCCTTGCTTGGCAGCCGGGGCTGCACCCGAGGAAGCTGAGCCTTCCCCGAGGGCGACCGAAGTGAACACGCAATCGTCAACCACCGGCACAAAGAACAGAGAATCGTCCCCCAGCTGGTACCTCTTAATGAGTTCGGGCATATCGAATCGGAGGCGTGTCCCAACCAGGAGGGGATCCGTCACGTCCTGCACCAGGGAAGGCAAGATACGAGCAGTGTCTGCACGGGTTGCCGAGAAGCAAACGGCTCGCCCAGCAGGCGAAACTCAGCTGAGTCCGAGTGTCAGGTGGGTACCGCGGCTTGGGGAATATACTCGGCAATACGCTGCCGAACCTCCCGGAGAGCTGACTAGAAACGGAAAGTGCCCTCCGGCTCATCGACCTTCCCCACATCCATAGACTCAGCACCCGAGCATGAGTCAGAATCTGGGTCTCCTCGTGAAGAGAATCCGAACCCCGACCCGGTGGGAGGCCTAGCACCAGACACCAAGGGAAGGGAAGAGGAAGGAAGGCAACAGACACACCACTCGAACCCCGGTCCCAAGACACGGGAGGAAGACCGGGCAGAACCAACTCCTCCGCTCTCATGGGGCGGGGTGGCGCAGGGAACGGAACCCCAGGAATCTCAATGGACCCTGCGCCAGCACCGAGAGGGGGACTGGGAGCGAACCCTCCCCCTCCGGGATAGCCGAGGCGTCTGGATCCAAAGCCAAAGGCAAAGGATCGACAGACACCTCCAGGCCAAGGGATCGAGCCGGGCTCGGCGATCCCACCCCCGGACTCTCGGTCCCCTGTTCAGAGTGGGCGAGGAACTCCTGGCGGAGACCTCCAACGGACTCATGAACAAGGGACTTCACGGAGTCCATATGCTGCTGGAACAATTGGGTAATTAGTGACATATCAAAACCACTATGAGATGACTGGGGAGGCGACTTATGCGACCTAGCTTTTTGAGTCGGTTTGGACTTTTTGGCTTTAGACGGGGGGACCTCCTGGGTAAGTTCCGCTACCGCCTCTCGCAATTCCTTATGGGCCCGGGGCCCGGGGGGAAAAGGCCACACAAAGCTCACAAACATCGGGGTTATGTCCCACCTTTTCAAGGCAGCACAAGCACTTATCGTGCTTGTCGGCTCTTGGAATGTTCTGCCCACAGACAGAACACCCAGTAAACGCCTGAAAGCAAACACGCAAGCATGTAGCTAACAGAGGAACCAGCAGCATAAATATACACGTACAAAGATTTTAATTTACGTGAATGCGACCATGGGAAGAAATACTTGGTTAATAACGCAATATGACAACCAAGTGGCACGCTAAACTTCCCGCCATGGAAGAGCAACACGTGCGTAAACCACGGGAAAGCGAGCGTAAAGTTTAATACAAAGTAACATAAATGAGAAATAACAGACTGCAAAGTCAATAAAACTGTTCTGTCAAGAACGAATAAAGACCATACATAGTTGTTGGAGTCTCAGACATTCTTTCACAAGAGAAGTAATTCAGCTATGAACTCAGAACACGTGTGAACGCTTGAGTGACAGCAGAAAGAATGATGATACGGGCCTAGGTGCTTACCTGGTTGGCTGCGCATGCGTAGCAGGGAGGTAACTCCACGTGGTGGGGGCCGTATAATAGATAAAAAAGATTTTATTTATTGTACAATATTTTTATTAAAACATTGATACAACTGTCACGAGACATTTTCTGCTTCGCTGCTCTCTTCGTTATTTTGCAGAGTGCAGTTGTGCCCTGTTGATGTTTAAATTCGACGAAGAGGAGACGAATATCATGCCTGGGATGTCACTTTGCACATAATGGGTTTGTTTATAATCCCGGGACTTTGGTGACACATGATATGCAAATCAGGTCTTTGCATGGGCATTGCATTCTGTTCAATTTGTAGTTCAAACTACACATACAAAATTTTTCACTGCAGTGAAATTGTATAGTAGCCAGCATGGTTGTCTACCGAGTTCTGAGTGAGTGAGTATGGTTTTACGCCGCTTTTTACCAATATTCCAGCAATATCACGGCGGAGGACACCAGAAATGGGCTTCACATATTGTACCCATGTGGGGGAATCGAACCCGGGCCTTCGTCGTGACGAGCGGACGCTTTAACCACTAGGCTACCCCACCGCCCTACCGAGTTCTGAAGAACTAATGGTGTGCGCTAATCAACTCCCTGAATATATGTGATGTCACTAGTGCACTATCAGGTTGACCTCCATGATATTTGGTGCAATAGATGGTTCATTAAAGGGCTCCCTTATGATTTTACACAGTTTCCACAATCTTCTAACACCACTTCGGATGACACCAAAGGGAGTTTCATATGCTGTCTTTCTTTTTGCGATGAACAGCAAATACGTATTTTGAAAAGTCTACATCTCCCAAGGAATGCAGAAACTACATTTAGAACTTAAATTGCAGTTAATCTTGATGCATGATGACAAACAGGGTGTGGATTACGGTTGGAAATTCTGAATTTACAAATAGAGCATGTCTCTTTGTGACCCACAAGGTTGATTACAAAGGCCGAAAATATAGTTAATCAACTACAAATTTTGAAAAATAATTGCTTGTGAGGATGCCGAAAGTGTATGTAAAGCTAATCCAAGCACTAATTTTGATAGATGACTTGTTATAAAGGAGGATTAGCTTGGATTAGACATCAGAGGGCGAAAATGGAGAGAGTGATGAGTGACAGCACTGTCAGGGGTTGCTGGTGTGCATGCGCAGGAGTGGGTGGGTTCGGGTGAGATGTTTTTATTCTTCTTGGACATAGACTCAAAAGTTTCTACTATGTCTCGGGCAATAGGATACAGAAGCAAACAAATATGAATCAGGATAAGGACAAATTTGATAACATAGAAAAATCCCAATTTTGAACAAAATGACACATCTTTTTCCCAAATTGCTTGCATGGATACCTAGCTTAGAATCCCTGATAAATCCCTAGATATCAGTGACAATCAAAATAAGGTCAATTTCATCAAATGACAAAAACGTAAAACACTTTCAATGGATTTCCAAAAGAAATCCAGTGTTCGAGACATCTCACTGAGAAACAACAAACAAAAAGAAAATTCAAATTTGTACCAAATCCATGCAGAGCATCTGAGCTTTTCCACTAACAAACCATCAATTTGGGTCAAATGCATGACCCTGAAAATACCCCCACGAATAGGTCACCATTATCAACTAGTGCCTGCAAACACCAAATATGACCAAAATTCATGCAGATCACATAAGGATGCACATAAGGACATGAACAGACACAGTGGCATGGGACAACCAGCATTATCACGTATAGCCACATGATCCTCAGGCAACTCTGGGCATCAGCATGTATTGTACCTATCGCTCCTGAATCCATACCTGGAGAATTATAGAAATACCCTGAAAAATCTCCTTCAGTTCATGGAACTGGTCCAGGAGTCACTGACCTGGTAAGTGCTTGTGGATAAAGTCTTCCACTCTGTTTACAATATCCTTTCTTTGCTGCAGCTCCTCCTCTGTCAGGCCATGGTCAGCGTGTATTGTCTCCAGCAGCTCGTCCAGGGCAAGCACCTGCTTCTTGGTGGGAGGGGGCATGTACCGTAATGTGTTCTCTGAATCTGTGACCTGAAGTACCAACATTGTGACAACACTGAATTTGAGAATTTCAGTTTCAGCAGTATCCTGACCAAACAGCATCCTAATCATAAAATATACATTATAGCAATATCACTGTACTGTAATAATCAGACAAGAAGAATCATAGCAATAAGACTCTAATACTAATCAGATGTGCAATATCATAGTTAAATGACTCAAGTCTAATAAGACAAGTTACATTATAGAGATATCACCTTAACCTAATCAGTCTGTGACTAAACAAGTGTACCTCTTTCCTCCGTCTATGTCTGGGCTCGGACACATGCTTGAGATAATCCTGCACTCTGTCCAGATGGTACTCACAAAGGCGACAGAAAAACTTGGCTCTCGGGAACTTGACTGATTTCTAAAACAGAAAATACAGAACATCTGCATGTGTAAATTGATGTCAATATCACATAGCACGCGCTTCCTGATTCATAATGAGATGAGACATTCTGGCACTGATATATAGAGATTACTAAACGAGCGTCTGTCAGATACCAGTTATCTTACAACGAGTTGTAAGATAAATGGTATCTGACAGACACGAGTACAGTTATCTGTTTCTTACACACCATAAAATCGCACCATTTTATAGTAGAATAGATTCAAATTTCACATTTTCTCATCATAGCTGCGCAATAATACACAACACAACGTTTATGAATGAGTGACGTCACATGCCTTCCTAATCACTACTCATCCCCATAGTGACCCTCCACAAAAAGTTTTTGCCACCTCTTCGCATCATCAAGGCAATAGTGATAATGAAAACTAGATAAGATCACGGAAAACTAATTAAACCCTCTAAAACGATTATGTTACCATGCAAATGTGGATGATTTTAATTCTTGCAAGCGTAAAATATTTGAGCGTGTGACGTCATCGTTATCGCTTGGTGGTTGTCGTCATCGGAAGATTGTTTTGGATATCTCTGCACATTGGGGATCTGTACTTGTGTGCCAGTTTACGTTCAATGTTCTCCCATCGACCGGAGCCAAAACTTTTGAGTGTGTGTAATTAGGTGCACCCAGTGTGCTTGAATGTGACATTGCTGAGGTTACAGCAAGGTCAAGCACACGTTACATTCACTATCAATGGGGGACTACTCTCTCTTCTTAGCCACAGCCTTCTCGTTTTCCCGAGCCAGAAACTGCCACTTGGAATGTAATGGAATTTTCGGAGTTGTCAGTATGAAATGTGAGTTGATTACATCCTGTATGTTATCAAGACATAAACTTTGCATTATCATGCGTCGGAGGAATATCTTGAGCAATGACTTATGTGTAGATCAACCGTTCCTGAACATGTTCGATTGAATAGAAAGGACGTGTGCCGCCATTTGCACTCATGAACCCTTGCAAAACATTCCATGTTGTACATTGTTTCAACGAGTGTGTTTTGGTTCTGATTGTCATGAGTGAATTTGTGAACATTGGAATCATAGTATCTCAGAGCTGGAAGTGGGTCTTCATCATGTTTATCAGTGAAAAATGTCATCTTCACCAATGCATCAAAGAAACAACGAGTCAAATCGATCTCACAATGAACAGGCACTGACGTTATCGTGTCAGGTATTTTTGCAAGATGACACATGACACTTGTCGCATCTCTCCAATAAAAGTATCAATGGTTGTACATTTTGAATATTCGAAGGGAATCCCGGGCTTTATCTCTAACGGTGATTTTCACATAATTGTTTACACTGGTATCACTGATTGTTCTAGCCATTTTGAATTCATGACTAGAAATCAAAAGTTTTAATAAAAGGAATGAGAAAATAAATAGGTCGTGTTATATTTATTCTACTTGTGACTCATTCTATAAATACCTGTTTATGTTGCAATCGCGAACATAACAGGTAGGAGTAAAGGGGGTATTTTTTGTACGAGTAACAGGTTTCTGTTCGATTGAAGCACGAGTAACTGAGATCATTAACAACTCTCAGGAGCAAGGTCTCTGTTGAATGCTGTGGACGATAAGCAGACTGATAGTCATCAAGGATGTCATGGAGGTTGATATGCTTCATCAGTTGTTAACAGCTTTCTCCACAAGTTTTGAAAGAAACGTCAAGTTTGAAACGGGCCGATGGTTCTTGAGTATGTTGGTATCAAGTTTGGAATTCTTTAACAGTGGAGTAACAATAGCATCTTTCAAACATGTAGGGAAAACACTGGATGAAAGACTTTTATTAATAATGTCGGTTATAACTGGAAGTAAATGATCGAGATGATTAACCACAAGATTGCTTGGCATTGGATCATTCAGACAAGTGGTTCTGTTGGATGATTTGATGAGACTGGCTACCCCACCGCCCCCAATGAACTAAGAGTAAATGTCAAACTGTCACAAAACTTGACAATAAAACCCAAAATACCTTTTTCAAGGGGAACACTTTCTGCTTTTCCATTTCCCTCAAGGTAGAACTATCAACTTTTTCTTCACAATCTGGAAAGAAACAAACACATAACTATTAAAACTGTTCATTGCTGAACTAATCTATTATTCTTATCAAAGATCTCTGCAAACAGCATATTTTCAATAAATTTCAATTTTGTAAGTCTGAATTTATTTTTCAACTGATACAGTTTTTGTGGATAAGCTAACCTTGGACTAGAAAATTATTTGGACTGACATTACATTCTATGACCATTCCTACTATGCTTTCACTGACAACCCTTACATGCTTTTCCCAACCATCGCTACCATGCTTTTCCCAAACAATCCCTACCATGCTTTCCCTGGCAATCCCCACATGCTCTCCCCAACCACCCCCACCATGCTTTCCCCAAACAATCCCCACCATGCTTTCCCTGACCATCCCCACCATGCTTTCCCTGACCATCCCCACTATGCTTTCCCCAAACAATCACCACCATGCTTTCCCTGACCATCCCCACCATGCTTTCCCTGACCATCCCCACCATGCTTTCCCTGACAACCATACCATGCTTTCCCCTAACAACCACCACCACGCTTTCCCCAAACACTCACCACCATGCTTTCCCCGACAACCACACCATGCTTTCCCTGACCATCCCAACCATGCTTTCCCTGACCATCCCAACCATGCTTTCCCTGACAACCACACCATGCTTTCCCCAAACAATCACCACCATGCTTTCCCTGACCATCCCCACCATGCTTTCCCTGACCACACCATGCTTTCCCCAAACAACCACCACCACGCTTTCCCCAAACACTCACCACCACGCTTTCCCCGACAACCACACCATGCTTTCCCTGACCATCCCAACCATGCTTTCCCTGACCATCCCCACCATGCTTTCCCTGACAACCACACCATGCTTTCCCCAAACAACCACCACCATGCTTTCCCTGACAACCACACCATGCTTTCCCCAAACAATCACCACCACGCTTTCCCTGACACCACACCATGCTTTCCCTGACCATTCCCACCATGCTTTCCCCAAACAATCCCCACCATGCTCCTGACAACCCTACCAGCCTTTCCCCTGACTATACCTACCATGCTTTCCTGACAACCCCTGCTAAACCATGCTTTCCCTGACAATACCTAACCTACCATGCTTTCCCCTGACAACCCTACCATACTTTCCCACAACCATTTCCTGACCCCTACCATACTCTTTCCCTCAGACACAACACTTCCATGCTTTCCCTGAAACCACACCATGCTTTCAATCACTTCCATGCTTTCCCTGACCATACCTACCATGCTTTCCCCTGACAACCCTACCCACCATACTTTCCCCAAACAACCACCACCATAAGCTCCCCTGACCATACCTATACCCTTGACTATGCTTTCCCCTGAAAACCCTAACATACCATGCTTTCCCCTGACCATACCTACCATACTTTCCCCCTGACCATACCTACCATACTTTCCCTGACAACCCTACCATACTTTCCCTGACCATACCTACCATACTTTCCCTGACCATACCTACCATGCTTTCCCTGACAACCCTACCATACATTCCCTGACCATACCTACCATGCTTTCCCTGACAACCCTACCATACTTTCCCTGACACAATACTTCCCTGAATACCTACTTTCCCCTGACAACCATCCAAGCTTTCCCTGACCATACCTACCATACTTTCCCTGACCATACCTACCATGCTTTCCCTGACAACCCTACCATGCTTTCCCTGACCATACCTATCATGCTTTCCTTGACCATACCTACCATGCTTTCCCTTACAACCCTACCATACTTTCCCTGACCATACCTACCATGCTTTCCCTGACAACCCTACCATGCTTTCCCTGACCATAGCTACCATGCTTTCCCTGACTATACCAACCATGCTTCCCTGACAACCCTACTATGCTTTCCATGACCATATCTACCGTGCTTTCCATGACCATACCTACCGTGCTTTCCAGTCAACCCTACTATGCTTTCCATGACTGTACCCACCATGCTTTCCCTGACCATCCCCACATGCTTTCCCTGACCACCCTCCCATGCTTTCCCTGACAACCCTGCCATGCTTTCCCTGGCCATCATTAACATGCACTTCCCAACCATCACTACCATGCTTACCTTCAGCTCCCCCTTTTTTCCTATTTTCCGGTACTCCCTTGTTCTGCTGTCCAACATTCTTGCTTCCACCATCATTCCCACTAGATGCATTTACAGAACTTTGATCTTGACCCTTAACAGCCTTATTTCCCTTCATCTTTGGCTGCTGCTGCTGCTGCTGTTGCTGCTGTTGACGTGGCTGTTGTTTTGTCTGTGGCTGTTGTGGCTGCTGAGGCTGCTGCTGTTTTTCCCTCCCCTTTCCTCTATTCCTATTCTTCTTCTGTCCACCCCCAACATCATTCTGGGGGTTACTGGGGCCCTGGCTCTGTTGCCTAGAGGGTCCGGGATATCCTGAGTGTTGAGGATGGGGTTGGTAGGGCATCACAGTCGGACGGCCCGTCCTTGGATCTATAGGCAACGGTCTGTTTCCCTGATGGTAGGAGGGTGGATGATCCATCTGTTGATAATGTCCACCCCCTCCTCCTCCCATGGGTTGGTATGGCCCTTGATGGTGGGGATCATCATAGGCACCATTTCTGCCACCCCCCTCATCATACGGTCTCTGATTGGATGATCTGTTCCGTCTCCTCCTCGGGCCTCCCCGCTCATTCCCTTGTGCTGCCATCCAAATTCTGTTGATGACATCATGGAGATAAAACTACATGGAACTAAAGATCATCTGTATCAACTGAATTAAGACTTAGTTCTGAACTTTCAATATATAATTAATGTGGGAACAATTTCACTTGAAATCCTTTGTGGTGGCAAAAAAAAAATGGACGATGCCATCTTCAGTTTTAAGGACTGACTGACTGAGTTTGGTTTTACGCCGCTTTTAGCAATATTCCAGCAACATCACGGCGGGGGACACCAGAAATGGGCTTCACACAATGTACCCATGTGGGGATTCGAACCCAGGTCTTCGGCATGACGAGCCAACGCTTTAACCACTAGGCTACCCCACCGCCCCAGTTTTAAGGAACAATGCGATATGATCATGGTGACGTCATGGTGTTATGGGCTTCTTTGCAAACTAGTAAACATTGAAACAACTCGCATGAAGTAGCCAATCCAAATGAGCAAACAGTTTCATACTGAAAATATATTCACCTATCTTCATACCCCTATGGGAAGTATATCAAAATCACTCATACCTGTTCTTCAGTGCTCATATCAAAACTCTGTGTATTCATTACCACTTAGAGCATGCTGTATGTCAGAGAAAATAACACTTGCCTCCAGCCCAGTACTATCTCATGTACATGGAAAGGTATCAGGGCCATGTCTCAAAGTACTACTTAACAGTCGATAGGGATATGAATGTCATTACTTATAAATGTGACTAAATGAGACATGAACAGTGTTCAGTACTGACATGGAAGTGACACGTCTTCAGCTTTCCTTCTCTTCTAGTAAAAGAGGTTCTCAGAATCGGATATTTATGAATTGTTTAAAACAAAACCATTTTGATTGTGATAAGTAGCCTGTGTCACAGACAAAACTCAATGTCTGTTTTATTGACACCTATATGTCTGCCTGCCTGTCTGCTAATGACAATATGCAATACACAACTTCAATCATTGACCACATGCAATTTGAACTTTACACCTATCGGGCTTATATGCCATAAACAAAGAACCAGCTGAGCGAGGATATATTCCATCGTTTTGATAAATAACAACCAAATTCAAGAAAAAAACATGTTTTATGTAACGAGTAGATTATTTACTTGTCTGTGTTCACAACCAAGATTAGACTACTCCTGCTCACGACCTTATAATCCGGGTGTGCAAACCTATTTACTGCGCATGAGTTACGAGCGCAGCGCAGCAAAGCTGTTGAAACCACTTTTCACCCCAGTGTTGGGGTGAAATTAGTGAATCGTTTGAACTCCGTTTTCGCAGGGGGGATTTCATCGCGTTGTTTTTCAACTTTATAAGTTGAATTTGCATTTTGGATGATTTGTTTCTGTAAGTCCATACTGAAAGGTATCAGAATCTGCAAAGTTGTGTTTTACGTTGCACGTGACCTTTAAGTAAAAGAGTCTTAAATATACTAAATTTCATCACACAAGCAGAAATTAGGTGGCAATGGCAAAAGGTAACATTGTCCACATCGCAGACATGTTTGAAATCGAGTTTGGTCAGTAGATAAGATCAACCACAGATGGACTGACTGACTGACTGACTGAGTTTGGTTTTACGCCGCTTTTAGCAATATTCCAGCAATATCACGGCGGGGGACACCAGAAATGGGCTTAACACACTGTGCCCATGTGGGGAATCGAACCAGGGTCTTCGGCGTGACGAGCCAACGCTTTAACCACTAGGCTACCCCACCACAGATGGAACCATTCACATAAATCTACAGCTATATAGGCCATGTAGTTTAAGAGTAGAAAATGCAAATGTTAACTGGCAATGGAAAGCATGCCAAAACATCCAGTCACTTCTTTAATGTTAATCTTCTAATCATATCATGTACTTATGTGTCTTCAGTTAAGTTAAAATACTGTGTCTCAAATGACAACATGCTCACCTTTTGAAAAGGTATAATTACTTGCTGTATGTTTATCAGTTGTATGAGGAAACAAAATCAAACTTCATCTACACACTGAAAGGACCATATTTGCTGCTAGTTTCACAAAACTTAAAGAGAAAACTTTGATTTTGATAATTATAAAACTTTACAAGAGCTGCATAATGATTGTAACTATTTGCCAGGCAGAATAATTGAAATACACAAGAATACTACTCATTAAACATGAACATACAAATAACAAATGAAAATATTAACATATGAAGAGTTTGAAAATGTATGGATGTTTTTGTGAAATATTGATTGACCTCTGCACTTTAGATGTTGTGGATATATGCAATCTGTTATAGAGGGGAAATATTTTACATAAAAACTCCTTTGCTGCGGGCTGAATCCATGATAATTCAAACTGGTTGTGTTGTTTGTGTAAAAGGTGTTGTGAATAGGGATTTTACAATTGCAAGAGAATAAACCATGGGAGGTTATGGCAATAATAACTACCGATTATGAGTGAGCTGTTCACAAAAGTTTGGAATAAAATGTATGTGTTGTTTTCAAATGAAATAGCTGCTGAAGGTGTTTGTTGTTGGTTTCACAAAATGATGACATCTTCTGTATGTATTTTTCCAGTTTCAACACAATGTTTTGGATTACAGTGAATTCATAAGTTATCAACTGATGCAAAGTATGAAAAGTAAAAGTAAGAAATACGATATACATTACAACCACGCGACTCTGTCAGAATGCCTTTCTAGGTGAGTGTGTATTTTCTTTACATTTCATATAACATTTATTTCTCTTTCAGTTCCGTACCTCCGAGCACGGGTCTAGTTCCTGCGAGTTACTTCCCCTTGTTAATATTTATAACTTTGTTTTTTTCCTAAAGGAAAGATATACTCTATGATTTGATATTTGAAGATAATTTGACATTATATTACAACGGCAGTGTTTGCGATGTTAATAAAATGAAGAAAATATTTTCCAACGCCTGCGATAAATCGCGAGAATCAATATGGCGGCGCTCTGTAAAAGAGCTGTCAATGCAAATTACACATGATTTCACAACCAAAAACACCATTTCATAAGACATGTTTGCAACTTCTGGTTATTTCAAAGGAGTTGACTGTCCCTACTACCTAAGTGGACTATGCGAAAGGCCATATTGTCATTTGAGACACGTTAAGAAGGATGGGTGCCGAGGTGAGAGAAAGGGGCACCTGTTTCAAACGTGAATGAAATAAACAAAGGAACTTTTGTTTTTAGGCTGAATAACTAAATGGAGGTTTCTGATTAACGTGTTAACATGATGATGGTTCAGAAAAATCGTAGTCTCTATTTTATTCCAATTCTGTCGTAGGAGGCCAAACCGATGCTGCTAATATATGTTTTATTGACTCGGAGACTTCGTTAATCAAACCTGTGATAAGTATACTAAGATAATTGAAACTAATTTAATAAAATTCAAAGACCTTTATAGTTTGATGCCAGTTTATGCTAATGAGTTATTATTAAATTTCAACTGAATTAAGCTTCATTTTCCAGGCCGTAGTTGAACAGCATGGTGATCATGAAAACAACTAATGCCTGGATTTATTCATACAATGTTTGTAACATTGTCTATGTACCTAAATAGCTCTCATAAACAGCATCTGATTTACATCAGGGTGTCTGGTAAACACCACTGTCTAGAAATGGTAGATGCATTATTTATGACTATTATGTTCTTTATACAGTGCTGTAATTAATCGGTGATTAAAAGACCCACTCCAGTCTACAACAGTTGATTAAACACTTGCTCTTCCCAGGGCTATGCTGATACTTAATGATGATCTGATACATATTATTCATGTTAGCTACTCATGGTCTTTATTTGTGAAATAAATATATGGTGTAAACATGCAACACACATAAAAACTCAAATGTTAAGGTCATTCCTGCTAATGATTAGCAGTGAAACATTTTTAAATAGTGACAGCAATTAACAGTGAACTCTCTTTGCTTTTAGATGCATCATCCACATTCACATCTTCCTCCAATTATGTGGGGGGAAGTCGGCCATCTTCTCCCCTTGACCCTGCTCTCTCTCATGGAGGCTTACAGTGCAGTGGACCAACAGGATCAAAGCCAGTGGGTCCAGGAGGTTACCTGAACAAGTCAGGTCCGACTGGGAACACCTCTTGTGCAGTACCATTCAAGGAAGAAACTGTTGAGGAGTATTCTGTGGATGGCCATGAGTCTGAAGGACCATTGTATGAGCCCACGCCAAAATATGACATTACAGTTGGGCGGAAGAAAAGACAGAACTCTACAGACTGTCAGTACAAGCCTGGTGGACCTGCAGTAGAGGTGCCGGAGTATGAACCAAATCATGCACCTGGAACCAAACCAGATGAAACACCTGTGTACAAACCTGGTAGTGTACCCAAGAAGTCTAAGTTAGACAGTTATGTTCCAAGTGGTTTGCCAAAAGTGTCAAAGTCTCAAGCAAAGAAGCGCAGAGCTAATCCTGCAGGAGTACCTGATGTCATTCCTGAGTATGTTCCAAGTGCTGTGCCTCAGTATAATCCCACTCCCATTAATCAGTTGAAGAGGATGAAGAAGACACCAGATACTGAGTCGGAGTATGATCCTGTCAATAACTACATGTACTCAACCAATCCACCCCCAAATGATGTAGGAGAGGTTGTGTATGTCCCAACAAAGCGCTCCAAGATAGAAGGGGAGGATGATATGTTTATGGATGAGTTTGGTGGTTCAGATAATGCTAAGTTCAGTGATGATGACCATGAGGATGAGTCTGAATTAATTATGGATTCTGGGAGATATGAGTCACCACTTGAGGAAGAGTCGGATGAGGAAGTTAGTGAAATATTTGCAGTAAAACCTTTCTTCAAAGACACAATATCAGATAAACCAGCTGTGGACAGCAAAGTTGAAATTTGTGAAAATGAGTTGAAGCATCCAATTCGAAAACCAGCGTCTACTGAAAAGAAAGAAGGAGATAAAACATCTGGTAATGATAAAAAAGAACAGTGTGAAAAGTCAGAGATTGATAACAAATTAAAAGACAAGTTGGAAAAATCTTCCAAACACTCCAGTTCATCTAAGTCAAGTTCTAGTGAGAAAGGTAGTGATGCTTCTAAAAAGAAGGACAAATCTGCTAGCAGTAGCAAAAGCAGTAGTAAAAGTAGTAAAGCATCTGATAATAAAAGTGCAAAACATAGTTCCTCAACCTCAAGTCATAAAAGAAGTTCCTCAAGTGAAAAATCTCATAGTTCTAATGGTGCTAGTCATAACAAATCTAAACATTCTGAAAAAGACAAATCCAGACACAAAGAAAATGGTGAATCTGATAAATCTAGAACAAAAGAATCCTCAGTGAAGGATAAGGAGAAACAAAGCTCACACTCTTCAAGTTCGGAAAAGAAGCATAAGTCAGATTCTCAGAAATCACACAGTAGTTCTCATAAACAAAGGTCATCTTCGAAAGACAGTACACATCACCACCGAGACTCAAGAGATAAGTCAAAGGAAAGTGATGGTAAGAAAAGCCATAGCAGCCACAGTAGATCATCCTCCAGTTCACATAGTCATGGGCACTCAAGTAAAAGCAGCTCCAAGTCCGAGAAGGAAAATAAAAACAAGCATGAAAAGTCCAAGTCTTCGTCTTCTAAAAGTCCCAAGGACAAGGATGGTAAGAATGATAAGGACCAGAACCTGGCCCATATCAATGCTGATTTGTTTGGTTCAGAAAGTGAGGAGGAAGGGACCTCAGGTAAAAAGTCAAACAATAATTCACATGACATGACAGATGCTGAGTTGGCCATGTTTCTTGAGGACAGTGATTTTGAATGTGAGACGGACACGTTTGAAGAGTGCTTAAAGATATTCAACGAGGAGGCTCCATCATTTAAGAAACAGACTAGTGAGAAAAAGGCAGCAGTAAGTATTTTGTCCTTTCACTTGAGTGAATATTATGTATGTTTTGGTTGTCTGGCCCAAAGGATCCGTCATCCATCATCATCTGTCAATCAACTGTCAACATTTCCAATTACTCTTCCAAACCCCTTGATTTACTGAGCTTGAAATTATTGTACCCTTTCTCACCAAACCGATCATTATTGGGAATTAAGCTTTGGTTTACAAAACCTCTAAAAGGTTCACATTTGAAACAAATTGTTTGGTCAGCATTCTGGAACAAATAAATTGTTGATCAGCATTCTAAAATAAATTGTTTGATCAGCATTCTGGAACATTCTGAAACAAATTGTTGATCAGCGTTCTAAAACACATTGTTTGATCAGCATTCTGGAACATTCTGAAACAAATTGTTGATCAGCATTCTAAAACACATTGTTTGATCAGCATTCTGTTCTGAAACAAATTGTTGATCAGCATTCTAAAACACATTGTTTGATCAGCATTCTGGAACATTCTGAAACAAATTGTTGATCAGCATTCTAAAACACATTGTTTGATCAGCATTCTGGAACATTCTGAAACAAATTGTTGATCAGCATTCTAAAATAAATTGTTTGATCAGCATTCTGGAACATTCTGAAACAAATTGTTGATCAGCGTTCTAAAACACATTGTTTGATCAGCATTCTGGAACATCCTAAAGGAAATGTTCAAACAACTTATTCAGGCAGTCCCTATTCTCGGAAGTTCTCATGGTAAGGAACAACTTACATGGATCTGGTGGTCAGTAGTGGTGTGACGATTCATGGATACGCATCGATGCATCAATCCATGGGCCGCTGATATAGTGAATCGATACAAAGTTTACATTGTTGTATATCCCGATACAATGCTTTAAATGGGCCACGATATATCAATGTTTAACTTTGAATATTGCCGAATCACGATATCTCTTACAGAAAAAAGACTTACTTTTGTTTGATGATTATAGTATATGCTTACTGATTTTCCCTTCATTAGTAAACCTTTTCTCGGAAATTCCTGCATCAAGAACTGTGTCAGACATAGCGCTCACATGTTATTAACATTCACAAAGTCTGTGTATAAACTTAATTATCTCATTTCCGAATGAACATTGAAGAACGCTTGCAGAATTTGACGAAATACTTTAAAATGGTTTTACTTTGATCTTAAGGTGTTTTATAGTTGATGTTAGAATTAAAGATTTTAGTATCATGATATCATGATACCGTGATACGTATTGTATCGCCACCCTTATATTGGGATTTGTATTGTATCGCAGATTCAGTGCACAGTACTATCGTCGTGACTAAAATTTAAATATCTTGAATCCGTGGAGGTCCGGATTAGAATATTGGCCTACAGTAACCCATGCTTGTCGTATTAGGCGACTAACGGGATTGGGTGGTCAGGCTCGCTGACTTGGTTGACACATGTCATCGGTTCCCAATTGCGCAGATCAATGCTCATGTTGTTGATCACTGGATTGTCTGGTCCAGAATCGATTATTTACAGACCGCCTCCATACTGCTGGAATATTGCTGAGTGAGGCGTAAAACTAAACTCAATCACTTAAGTATCATGATGTATCGTATCACAGGTTGTATGCCAATACCAGCATTTGTGGTCAGGCTCTGGGAGTTGTGTGTCAACCGACCTCGACCATGTTGAAGATGGGGATTATTGCTAAATTAACGTCTTATGATTTGTCTTGTCTTCAGGCTGATGTGTTGTGGTTAGAATAGTACTGACTACTTTGTTAAATATCATTCTTTTTTTATTTCCTCTGTATACATGATGCATGAGAACCAAGAGTTATTCATGGTTATAGCTGTTAGGGCTGGCTAAAAAGATGTGTATACAGAAATGTTTTCGATGGGAATAATTATCAAAGATTTATATTGATATGAAAATTGTGTCAATGATAATATTGTACTTACGCTATTGAGATGAAATATAGTTTTAATTTACATGCATAATACACAAAGTTATGTCTATATTCAAAGAATTCTAGGCGGTGGGGTAGCCCAGTGGTTAAAGCGTTCGCTTGTCACGCCAAACAACTGGGTTCAATTCCCAACATGGGTACAATGTGTGCAGCCCTTTTCTGGTGTCATTTCTGGATACTGCAGGAATATTGCTAAAAGCGGCATAAAACCATGCATGAAAGTATGTTCAGAACGCTAAATTTTTTTTTAGTAATCCATGCTCTGATGTGCCACCACTCACCAGTGATGTGAAATATGTTGATTTCATTTGAACCTTCTTTGCAGTTTTTGCCCAGAGTTAAATCTGTAATATTTTCAGGACGTTGGGGTAGTCTAGTTGTTAAAGTGGTTAGCAGCGATGACCCGGGTTCGATTTCCAACATGGGTACAAACTACAATGTGTGAAGCCCATTTACGGTGTCCCCAGCCGTGATATTGCCAGAATATTGCTAAAAGTGGCGTAAAACTAAACTCACACTTACTCAGTGTAATACTTTCTGATAATAGATTGTTGATAACAGTTATAAATCTCCATGATCCATATCAGTTGTTTCCAGCCATTGTTCCAGTTTCCAGGTGTTATGTATGTGTAATGTTTCCTGCAGAGGGAACACAGTGAGTCAACAAATGCTAGCACGTCCCAGGTGGTGGGGAAGAAGAGAGTTGGCACATATGGGCGACACAAGGGTGAGACATATTTCTGTACAGCTATACACTACATGAGGTCAGTAGTGGTTAAGCATTGGCTCGTCACGCCGAAGACCCGGGTTCGAATCCCCACATGGGCACAATGTGTGAAGCCCATTTCTGGTGTCCCCCGCTGTGATATTGCTGGAATATTGCCAACAGCGGCGTAAAACCAAACTCAGTCAGTCAGTACATGAGGTCAGTGCTTGTATCTATGGACAGAAAAAGCAATATCTACTGAGACCAAAGTCCCAGGTGACAGGACAAAGAGAGTGGTTCATGCAGGTCATGTGAGGATGAGGTTGTTGTGAAAAAATAATTTTGTCAGTTTGTTATTCCAATCTGGGAAATTTGTTCTGTGGGTGAGTGAGTGAGTTAAAATTTAAAGTCACATGGGCAGGATTTGAGCCATCGTGACTATAGTTTACTGCAGACTGGACCTGGGCTTAAATACCAGCCATTGATCAGGTCCAGATGAGGTCTGAACTAGTTTGTAACCCATGGGGATTCCAGTTAGGAATATGCAGGTCATCAGAGGTGTCTTAATGGACGGTGTGATCTGGTTCGCTACTTGATTGATGGCAGTAAACATAGCCTGATGGTATGGATCAAATGCACAGAGATGAGTCGCAATCAGTCATCATTGTCTCACATTAGATGCGTGTCTGTCCTGACATATTGCCATGACTACTGTGTAATGTATGGATGTCAAATAGTACTTGCAGGGGTGGAAATAACCCATTGCCCGACGCCCGAGTCCATTGTTTTTTTCTGTCGGGCAAGCAAATTTGTATATCACACTGTACCGGTGTCCAGTTGATATTCCAATGTTAGTTATGTTGTTTATTTACAAAATCAACAAGAAAACGGCTGGTATAGTGGAAAAATTATCAGGGCAAGTGATTTTACATGTGCCACTGTACCGGAGTACACTAGCAATTTTAAAGTTATTTCCACCCCTGACTTGAAATATTGGAGCTGTGAGTTGAAGTTTTCTTTGCCACTTCCAACCTAATGAGAAATCTAAAACACTGAGTCCCTTTCCTGTCTCAATGCAGCCACCCAAACGGTCAGCACCGAAGCCAGCTGTGAAGATGAGTCCTGCGGAGGTGATGCACAACCGTTTGATGGAGATGCAGCGACGGGCCTTGGAGGCGGCGGAGGCTAGGAAGGCTGTGGCCGAGGCCCAAGCTGCAGTATGTAGATGCCTCAAGGCTTCACTAGTCCAAAATCATCATGTCTATACTATTCCGATATATATCAGTCAAAGACGTAACGTGTACGCGAGATGGCCTACACGAGACGAGTGCGCTCCACGGTACTAACTGAAGCGCTTGACCCTAATTAATTCAATCACTGTGGAACCAACTTGATTGGGTGCGAACACAGTGCGGGGTGATTAAAGTGTCCCGTAAAATCCCCAAGTGTGGTGGTCACTTGACAATCATGATTGTATGTTGAGGGAAGCAAATGACCCATGAAAATTCACCAGTCGGGCCAGTGACTGTGGAGACTGTAGGCTAGTGGGCCAGTGGCTTTTTTACACACTGCTTGTTAACTATAGTAATAAGAAAGAATCCTGTAGCCCTTCACTTTCTTCTCATAGTGTATACGTACACCTTCAAGTGTGCCAATCGTGCTAACTTTTACTCTGGACAGTGGAGCACTGCACATTTCTGCTGTTTTTTATGGATTATCACATATTTCAGTTGTTTTGTTTTGAAAATTTGAATGTTGTACAAGTCATACCGTCTGTGTTTAATAGATAAAATCTGGGTCTAGCTCTACTCAAAGCTTTGGAGGGGGGGGGCTGAAGCGGACAGCTCACATGCCGAAGTTGAAGTCCAGCCGACAGGGAAGCCTGGACGACAGGGATGATGACAAGAGAACTGTTGCTATCACAGTAGCCAGAGGGGAGAAGAGGAAAGCCCATGCTCCAACACTTGTACGTGGTCTCACTGACAATTCCCCACATGGGTACAGTGTGTGAAGCCCATGTTTGGTGTCCCCCCGTCGTGATATTGCTGGAATATTGCTAAAAGCGGCATGAAACTAAACTCACTCACTCACTCACTCTCACTGACAATGTACTGGAAATTCATAGAGACTGGCAGAATCATTGTCACATTGTTATGGGGCTTTCCACTATTTGCACGGTCCATACTTGCCTGTCATTATAACGCTATGTATATGTACAATAAACAATCTTGATCTTGATTTTGTCACTACTTGGCAAGCTGGTGTTTACATTGCCCAACAAAACACATCTATTTTCTTAGTTTGTCAAAACACATCCTGACTGTGGTTTTGAATCATTATCTGTTTGAAAACATGAATCATAAGGCGATTCTTACATTTCAGAGTAATGTGAAACGTCCGACGATACCAGCAGAGTTTGGGAGTAAAGTCCCAAGCAACATTCGACAACGCTACCTGAATCTCATAATAGACGAATGCCTCAAGATATGCAAGACGGAAGAGGAGGCGTATAAAAAAGGTCAAGAAGAAGAGGCTGCTGTTTACAAACGAGCCACCAATAAAAACATCTACCTCCGAGTTGCCGTGAATGCCATAAAGAGATTACGAGTTGAAGTACAACAGTCTTGCTCATCCCCCACCAAGAGTCCTTCGAAGATCATCAAACAGTCACATGAAGCAACGTTAGGCGGCAAAAATGCCACAAAAACAACCTACACTTTGCATCGATCAGGAGGAACCAAGGCATACAATGAAGATTTCAGAGGTAACGTGTTGGAGAAAATAAAATTGAAAATCGAAAATTAATAATTATCTTTGCACTTTTCTTGTGATTATGGTTGAACAGTGGACAGTTTTGTTGGACTTTGATATGTCAAACTTAACGCTGACTCAAAGTGCTTGGTCCCTGTTTTGTCCTTATTTGGTCAACATTTTGTAGTTGATACCTTGGATACCTTGGGCGGTGGGTTAGCCTGGTGGTTAAAGCGTCCACTCGTCATGCTGAAGACCTGGGTTTGATTCTCCACATTGCACAATGTATGAAGCCCATTTCTGGTGTCCCCCGCCGTGATATTGCTGGATATTGCTAAAAGTGGCGTAAAATCATACTCAACCACTCACTCAACCACTCAACCACAAATGGTCCCTTCCATTACAAGTGTGTGTGACTGTATAGAATGTTGAACTGATCTGTCTCTTTGAGTCATGGTGTTCATATTTTTTCTCTTTCAGGTGCAGAACTGTACAAGCGACTGTCTAAGTACATCTTGACCGAGGAACAGTTGAGGGAGAATGGTTATCCCCGACCCTCAGATCAAGGTGGCTCACATGCCAAGTTCTATGCTGAAAGGAAAGAAAAAGATGTCATTTTAAAACGTGAGAAAGTCATTCAATCTACAAACTGCGAAGTACTGTTTGACCACACTGTTTGGAACACATTATATTACAAGCATTTAAGGATTATAACCCTTAATCAGTTTCTAATATATATCACTGTATAAGGTGAGTTTTTCGTACCTAGGATTAGATGGGGTTGCCTTATATGTGTGGTCGCTTAAGAGATAGTGACATACAATACCTAAATATTAGTAGCATTTAGGGTTATAGTCTTTAGCCAGTTTCTAATATGTATCACTGTATAAGGTGAACTAGTAGCATTTAGGGCTATAATCCTGAACCAGATTTCGATTCTTAAATGTTTCAAGGTGGAACTGAGTAGAACTGACAAAGCAGGTGCGTCCCTTGGGCCAGCATTACTGTGCATTCAAATCCCTGTTCAGGGCGGTGGGGTAGTCTAGTGGTTAAAGCGTTCGCTCATCACGCCAAAGACTCGGGTTTGATTCCCCACATGGGTACAATGTGTGAAGCCCATTCCTGGTGTCCCCCGTCATGATATTGCTGGAATAATGCTAAAAGCGGCATAAAACTAAACTAACTCACTCACTCATGTGGTTTCTTGGTTTGTCAGCACAATAACCATGCTCATGGGGTTGACCAAAGTGGTCAAGGTCTGATACCTCTATCACCTAGAGTTTTCTTCCCATATTATGTGATATAAGGTGAATATTATTAAACACTGTCACTTACTCTCCTCAACAAATTGTAAAATGTGTCTGACATATCAAGGCCAATGATGAGTACCTTGTACAATTATGCTGTGAAAATACCTTACCTCAATGTTGAGAAGATAAAGATTGGAATTAAGTTGATGGAATGTATTTTGCAGAACATGAAAAAAACTGTGCACGTTGTGGCAAGAGGTTCATTGTGTTTCCTAATGGTAACTACAATCGAGAGGAAGAGTGTGTCTACCACTGGGGCAAGGCCTGGAAGAAGAGAGGTGAGGGAGAACGCTGTAGTACATGTTGCACCCAACCATTGTCGGGCAGAAAGTACCTCTTTGTTTTTCATTAGGTGCTTTACCAAACCTTATAATACCTGCAAGAAATAGGCTTTTGAACCTGACATCTTTGCCCTGCGCCCTTTCTCACTGCTTTGTTTTCAGCTCCCTCTGGCATGTTTAGATATTTCTATCAATATTGCTAGTGAAATGTTGGAAGAAATGGCTACCTAATTGTCAAGGGAGACAACACAAAAAGTCAAACCAAGCTCAAGGCAACATGTGGAACAGTAATGGTCTAAGAAGAGATTTTTTACTCTTTGTTTTAAAATCCAATTCCCTCGGAAAATGTGACTTGTAAAGATTCTTGGCTGTGTTAAGGTATAGAACCTTAATGGCATAGAACCTGGTTCATATTATCATCCTGTCCCCAAATTGCTGATTTAGCTGAAATAATGCTGACTGCAGCAGAAAAGATACACAGTCGCTCACTGCTAGAGAGAATGAGATGTTTTATCACTATATGTACATTTCCAGTGGACCGTGCCCTGGTGTCCAGCTACAACTGTTGTGGGGGGGACCTGGGGACGGAGGGGTGTCAGGTGTGCAAGGTAAGTGTAAGGTGTAGCTGGGGTGGCTAACATTTAGTCCCAGGTATCAAATGTTCACGTGAACTGTGTAAAATATGTCATGTGTTTTTCTTTTTGATAAATTTTTTTAAGTCTGTGTTTGCTGAATTAGTGAACAGTCATCTTAGATATTGTTAAATTTACTTGATAACAGTGTTTGGATCTACACCGAAACATCTCATCAATTGCAATGAAGAAGTTGTCTATCCATAAAAAAAAATTCCTCTTCATCATACCAGCTTCTAAATGTCACTTGAACAAGGTGACATGAGCATTATCATGATTGTAATTGTTTGACAATAGAAGATATTGTGAGTGAGTGAGTGAGTTAAAATTATATGTCACATCATTGTTGTGTCAGGCTAAAAGCAACAGAAGAGATTGTTGTACACATTTATACTTGACACTGGATATAAATTATACAGTATATTTTAGTTGTGCAAGATTGACTCCTTGTATTCTGCAGAATATTCAAGTTGTAATCTGGGTGTAAATTTGAAATTGCAGTACCATGTCTTCGAGTCCAACAAGTCAGAGAGTGTGACAGGCTACATGAAAACCATTCCTTCCTCCCCGCCAATAGATGGGGATTATGGTGTTTATGCCATGGATTGTGAGATGGTAAGATCTTGATTGGGATTATCGTGTTTATTCCATGAATTATGACATGTTAAGATCTTGATAGGGGTTATAATGTTTATGCCATGGATTGTGAGATGGTGAGATCTTAATGGGGATTATGGTATTTATTGTATGGATTGTGAGATGGTAAGACCTTTGCACTTCTTTTCAGTGCTGTAAACAGGACACTGGTGAACACACACACTAAGTCTGTGGAAACGCTGTGTGATCCACATTTTTGTGTGTTTTGACATGGAGAAATGTGAATATTTAATGTCCATGAGGTACTGTGTATCAGAGGTGATGAGACTATGAGGATGGGGTTAATGAATCTGTGTGTTGATGCAGGTATACACCAAGGGCGGTATGGAACTTGCAAGGGTGACGGTCATTGACCCCGAGTCCAAACCCGTGTACGAGACACTGGTTAAACCAGGCTTCCCAGTGATTGACTACAACACAAGGTTTAGCGGTCTTACTGAAAAGCATCTCCAGGATGTGACGACAAGTCTTCGGGATGTACAAGCTGTGCTGCTAAGTCTCTTTACTGACAAGACAATTCTCATTGGCCACAGTCTCGAGAGTGATCTCATTTCTGTCAAGGTGACTGTTTTATATGTGGTGATTGAGATGATGCTTGGTTATCTAATGTCAGTGAAGCATGCCTTAGCAAAGCACTTTTCTGGCAAAAGTATCAGTGATTATGGAAATTATTTGGTCTTCAGAAATAATGTGGGAATATTTGGGAAGTGCAACAAAGAGCTTTTTAATGATATTCGTGGGAGGGAAATCACTCCTTCCCCTGTCATAAAGTATCAGTCCTTTAGTTGAACGAGTATCAGCCTCCACATTCACTGATAGTCCTTGGATGGGTGTAGATAATACTTGGTTGAGTATTAATACTACTTGGACGTGTTTAGATAATACTGGGATTATCATAGATAGTACTTGGATGGGCATAGATAATAATTGGATGGGTATAGATAATAATTGGATGGGTGTAGATAATGCTTGGATTATTATGGATAGTACTTGGATGGACATAGATAATACTTGGATGGGCATCGATAATACTTGGACGGGTGTAGATACTACTTGGATGTGTGTAGACGGTACTTTGGATCAGTTCATATATTACTAGGAAGTGTGCAGATAATACTTTGATGAGTATACAGGATACTTGGATGGGTGTAGACACTTGGATTATCATAGATAACACTTGGATTATCATAGATAATACTTGGATTATCATAGATAATACTTGGATGAGCATCGATAATAATCTGATTATCATAGATAGTTCGATAATAATCTGATTATCATAGATAGTGGCTTGATAACACTTGGATAGATAATTTGGATGATCATAGATAATACTTGGATGGGCATAGATAACACTTGGATTATCATAGATAACACTTGGATTATCATAGATAATACTTGGATTATCATAGATAATACTTGGATGAGCATCGATAATAATCTGATTATCATAGATAGTGCTTGATAACACATAGATAATACTTGGATGGGCATAGATAATACTTGGATTATCATAGATAGTTCTTGGATGGGCATAGATAATACTTGGATAGGCATTGATAATACTTGGATGGGCGTAGATAATACTTGGATGATCATAGATAATACTTTGTAGATAATACTTGGATGATCATAGATAATACTTAGATGGGCATAGGTAATACTTGGATGGGCATAGATAATACTTGGATAATCATAGATAATACTTGGATGGGCATCGGTATTACTTGGATGGGCATAGATAATACTTGGATGATCATAGATAATACTTGGATGGGCATAGATAATACTTGGATGGCATCGATAATACTTGGATGGGTGTAGGTAATACTTGGATGGGCATCGATAATGCTTGGATGGGTGTAGGTAATACTTGGATGGGTGTAGATAATACTTGGATGGGTGTAATGCTTGGATGGGTGTAGGTAATACTTGGATGGGTGTAGGTAATACTTGGATGGGTGTAGATAATACTTGGATGGGTGTAGGTAATACTTGGATGGGCATCGATAATGCTTGGATAGTGATAGATCTGTGGTAAATAGTAATTTGATGGGAGTAGAAAATACTAGGGTGTGTGTAGATCATACTTATATGTGGGTAAACATTTTATGCAAGGGCATAGAGTACTTGGATAGGTGTTAATGTAATTCTTCAGTAATATATCCTGTTTTCTATGTAACTGTCCTCTCATTTAGATCATCCACAACACTGTAGTGGACACTTCTGTAGTGTTCCCCCACCGACTCGGACCGCCGTACAAGAGAGCTCTCCGTAACCTCATGGTGGATTTCCTTCAGAAAATTATACAAGATGATGGTAGGATGAATTTCTATGCAGGAACTGTATTCTCCAGTTGTCATCTGTCAGCAACATACAATTCTTTTTGATTTTACCAAATTGGTATGTTGTTGCCTACATCATAGTCATCACTCTAGGCTTATCTCACATGTTAAGCTTGCATTGTTAAGTACTGTTCAAGTTGGCATAAAAGTCACGAGCACATGGTTCAAAGCAGATGTATAATATGCCTTCACTCCTCTCTCCCAAATAGGGGCAGTTGGGGTAGCCTGATGGTTAAGCGTCCAGTCATGACGTTCAAGACCCGGGTTTGATTGCCCACGTTGGGTACAAGATGTGGAGCCCATTTCTGGTGTCACCCGCTGTGATAATGCTGGAATATTGCTAAAAGCGGCGCAAAACTAAACTCACTCACTCACCCAACTTCTAAATGCATCTCAAAGAAGTTTAGTAAATGAAGTTATTATGTAAGCTATGAATATAAAGAAAGGGGACGGTGATGGGGTAGCCCAATGGCTCATCATGCCGAAGAGCTGGGTTCAATTCCCTTCATGGGTGCAATGTGTGAACCCCGTTTCTGGTGTGCCCGTCATGATATTGCTGAAATATTGCTAAAAGCGGCGTAAAACCATCCTCACTCTCTCGCTGTTTCAGTCGGCGGCCATGACAGTCAGGAGGATGCAGTTGCCTGCCTGCAGTTGATGCAGTGGAAGCTGAAGGAAGACGCTCTGAAGGAGGTCAGACGCGTCTAAGACTTGTCACCAACGTCATCTGTAAATCATCTGTATATCTGAAGGTCCATCCATGTCATCACCCCTTTCAGAGATCATCTTCAAAAATCTGGCTTCCGCTTCACCACAACATGTCAGGAAAAGATGAATTTCCAACATCAGTTTCAATGTGTGTCTGGACGTCAGTTAGATCATTCATCCATGACATCACTTGTGTTAGAGCATCAGTAATATCACAGACCATTGTAACAGGAAAACATCCTTCAGCTTTGTGGCGGGAAACCAGGGAGATCTCTCAGCCATGACACCACTTGTGTTGATATTTTGTAGATATCTCAGTCAATTGTGAAAGGAAAAGATCTTGCAGCCATGTCTTGTGGCAGGACAACCATGAATAATTCATCTGGAAATTCTGCAACTCATTTAATTTCTGACTTACGTCTGCAGATGAAATAGTTGAATCAGGTGTGTCACATGTCGCATCTGAAAGTGTCATTGAAACCGAACACAGTTCAGTGAAATGTTAAGAGTACAATGGCTGTATTTTAACATCATCAGAATGAACCCATGCTTAGCTTTGTACATACATCAGGAATACTTGGGCATTAATATTTCCTGCTAGTCTCTCGTGCATGTTGGCAGTTCACCATCTCAAGTACCACGGTACTTTGTGGACAGATTGTCAGAATCTTGTGTAAACAAAAACAGTACAAGCCAGTATGACTGTTTGTTTGTGATAATAAACCAAAATCCTCTTGCTTAAAGAATATATCACCTGATATGTGTGACTATTTATTATCAATAAATATTCAATTATATCACTTTAAAGGTTTTATTTGCCAAATTCAGCAGTCTTACAACAATATTAGAATATCAAACACGAAAATGGGCATTACAGCCAAACACTGACTGTAGCCTTAAGTTGATACTCAAGCTACTACAACAAGGTGTGCAGCCTCTGTACAATGATATCCTGTTCAGAATAAAATCCAGAAACCCCTTAGAAATGATTCTTCTAACTATTAGAAAGTACGTATATTCCAACACAATTGTATCTTTCTTTTTGTGAACTAATTTTATTGGAATGAAGTGGTTATAAAATGTTTAAAATTATTTTGTTGTATAGTTAAAAAATCATTGAACCTCATGCCATCTGAAAAGCTTGTTTTCCATGTATAGATGGCACTGTTCCGTTGTGAATCCATCCTGTTTAATGCAGACTTTTGTGCTTTCAACATCATAAATAACACTAACAAAGTCCTGTTAATGACAGAATTGTATAAACAATCTCCATGGCAGCCTGTTCAAAGCATTATGGAGTCAACAATCCTTCATGATCCTCTCAAGTCTTAATACATATCGTGTACATATGTAAATGATGTGATTGTCTTTGTTGGGTGTATGCAGTGTCCATCGAAGCTTCTTTGTGACTTTTGTTGACATTTGTCATATTTATGTCATTCTGCTCAAAACAAAGCAAGGATAGAAATATATGGTGAACGTCTTGCTATGTACATTTTATTGTATTAGTTTAGGTCATAGTTTTGATTTATGCCCTACAAAAATCTACAATCATCTTGCGTGACTAAATCTTAGACATGTTGTCAGACATGTTGTGAGTGACTGTGTTCGTACTTAAAACTGACAAATCTTGCCAAAGACATCATGAAACCATTTGTCACCCCCTTTATCCTAAAAGTTGAATGAGGTTTGTACTTCCTGGGACGCCGGTGAAGCCTATTTCTGGTGTCGCCAGCCGTGATATTGCTGGAATATTGCTAAAAGTGGCGTAAAACCATACTCACTCATAGGGCGCAGTCATGTTATGGAGTTTCAATTTGCTGTGTAGAGTTGCATCCCTTTGTGGGCCAAAACATGTGATCCAGGGTTTGAAGTCCAGTTATTCTTTTTTATATGTGCAGGTTTTATTAGCACCACAGCCATGGGTTTCACAAAGCAGTAAACGTCTGAGACATGCATGACTGACACATTAGGCCAGACACACTTTGATGTACATCTGTTGGAAGTCACTCACTCATTTGTATTTCCTCTCTGAGAAAAGTGTTTTTACTATAAAGCAGCCTGCAACTTGATGCTTCATATAGAATACCCTGTCATTGTCTAGAACCATCACTTTTTCCCAGTATTTGTCGGAACAAAGTACAATATGTAGTCAATGTTTGGAACTTTAGTTCAGATTCATATTTCTCAAACACAACATTTCTATCCATTCAGAAGCAGGAACATTTCATCATTTATTTAGTTTCAATTAACTTTCAAACACTGGCAACATCTGAAGAATACAAATCCGTCCAAGTGCGTTTCATGAATATTGTCATAGCATACATGCTGTTAAGCATTCTTTTGTACTTTAACTAATTAGTTAATTTTCTAAAAGTTATAAACATAATTATCATAAAGTTGTAAAGAATGATTGTAAGTGATGAAGTTTTGTCCTTAGTGGTTTTATTCCCTCTTGTGTTGAGAAGGTATCGTGATCTTCAACTGATGTGTCCTCCTTGGTTTACATTTATCAAACAACTTGGCATATAACAGTGGTCTTCAGCCTGGTAGCTGGCTGCGCAGGGTTGTGTCCCTTAGGTGAAAGGATCTGCTGGTTCTGTGTTTGAATCCCAGATACACCCTGATTGTCATGTTGGAATTGTTATCACCCAGGTGATCAGTTTCTATGACCATTTCAACCAAATACAGCATTGTTACAATGTCAGTTGTAATTTATAACCTAAGTTTGATCTTTCAGTACAATGTCAGTTTGCAGTAATTTGTGACAATTGTTAATATTAGTTTGCTGGGAGACAGCTGTAGTTACAAAAAAAACCGAAGGTTACCATGAATAATAATTGCTTTGTAAATGCTTTCAAATAATATCACATTGTTATCAGGCTTTGTGTTCAGTGGCAGTTTTATTGACGTGTTGGGGAATTTTACATCCCCCATTTTCAGTATTAACGGTAAAATGCTTGCAATAAATCAAATGGAATTTATGTTTAAAACAACATCTGTTTAATGAGACACCTTTGACTAATCTTTTCTTCTTTGTCTGTATGTATATGTATGTGCTGTCTGGGGAACTTGCCATGCAGAGTTATGTCCCTTTGTCATGCCAGGATCCACTGATTAAGCTGACACATGATGTTACTGAAGTGCTGTAAAACTGACTCAGTTGCATATGCAAACACTTCTATTGAGGGAATGATAGGCTATGAAAGATGCAATGTTCTCCACATTTACCTGTAAGAAGTGAATATTTTTCTTCCCAAAAACTAATTGGTATGAAATCTAGTCTGTGTCTATGTGTTTACTTTTGTATAAAATATAGTTTAGTCCCATGTTCTGTCCCTAATGAGCTGCCTTTCCTCATGTCAATAAATCAGATTTAAGCAATCATGAAATATTGGTTGGTGTAAAACTTTGTCTGAGGCTTTAAGAAAGAGTGTCTCAATACAAACCTGAAAATAGGGAGTAGCCTTGAGGTTAAATCATGTCGAAGACGAGGGTTACATTTCCTGCATTGTAACAATGTGTGAAGTATATTTCCTTGTGTTCCCGCTGTGCTATTGCTGGAATATTGCTAAAAGCAGTGTAGAACCTCGCTCACTTACTCATGGCAGGTATGTCATCTAGTCACGAACACATAATCCTATGATAAATGTAGGTGTTTTATTCAAAATTTATTGTTCATTGATATGTATATACTGATCAACATTTGCCAGGGATATGAGTATACAGTATAGGAGGTTAGTGTTTTAGTGGAAACTGAATTGGTTGAAATGCTTTGAAATGTTGTCATATAATATCTGAGATAATGCATTGTTCACTTTGATTTCAAGGTAAAACAAATTTAATTAAATATTTTCATGTGTCCCAGTGAAGGATGAAAAGTATACTCATTCAGTGCTTCAATAACATTGATTCCATGTAAAAAGTATATTTATGACACAGTAATTAATGACTAATGCTATAATTTGTACCCACTTAGAGAGGATTATTTTGTGACAAACTAAATATTCTGAGATATCATCCTGTACATGAGTCTCCATCAGAATCTCACTGCCATATTTTATAAAGCATTCATATATTCTACTCAAAGAAAATTAAGGACATCTTGATTCTCTCATATTGCTGTATACTCGTGAAGATCCGGGTTATAATTGGTCTTCAGGAACCCATGCTTGTTGCAAGAGGTGACTAATAGAATCAGGTGGTCAGGGTCACTGGCTTGGTTGACACATGTCATTGTATTCCAATTGCGTAGATCGATGCTCATGCTGTTGATCACTGGATTGTCTGGTCCAGACTCTATTATTTATAAACCGCCGCCATATGGCTGGAATATTGCTGAGTGCAGCGTAAAACAACAAACCAAACCAAAACCAAATCCTGTTGCTATAGTTACACTGTAATGTAGGGATAACAATCAAGTGGTGGTCCTTTATTTCTTTTGAGTAGTATATTTCAGTACAGTTTTGCTTCCATATCACCTATACTTTCTGTATCGATGATGCATCATCACTGTTGAAATGTATGCCCCTGGATTTCACTGTACAGCCACTGTTAGAGGTGGACAGTCCACTCATTTCAACAGGTAGTCATTTCGAAATGCAGCTTCCAGAAGGTGAAGATACTAGCAGACACAGCAATTATTATGTAAATTGTGTATTTCATGACTGACATGGTTGATGTTATTTGGATGTTGTGATAATACTTGTTTTCATCATTTTTTATGCCAGCCAGCTTGTAAATAGCCATCATCATGTCACACACCATTAAGAACTGGCACGGTTACTCTCTGGAACAACCCTTCAACCCTATTTCTGAACCAGAAGTGTCCTCTAGCCTTTTAGGGTAGGGGTGAGTGGAAACTTCTTACTCACTAACCTGATCCCCCATTACCCAACCTGACTCGCTCAGACATATGAGGGGCGATGGGGTTAGCCTAGTGGGTAAAGCGTTCGCTTGTCATGCCAAAGGTCTGGGTTCGATTCCCGCATGGGTACAATATGGGAAGCCCATTTCTGGAGTCCCCCGCTGTGATGTTGCTGAAATGTTGCTAAAGCGGCGTAGAGCATGCTCACTCACTCACTCACTCACTCACTCACTTAGACATATGAAAGTCAGAAAGGAGTGCAGCATCAATGACTTTAAGTGTGACATGTTTAAGTGATTCATTATCAAACAATATATATCAGGACTGACCATGGGTCTGAGAAGTCCTTCAGGTATATGGGCCCTACTCTGTACCACCTGACTCTGGTACCTGAGTTAACCCTACAGGCTCTGTACCCTGTGTCTAAGTCTGCTGTGGCATTGGCTTGTAGACAATCTGACCTAAGTAACATGCTTTCTATAAAGCACTGCAAACCTTACAGAGGCATTGTCATAGCAGTAAATACATTAGACATACAATTGCAGTCACAGATATGTCCATGGCATCATGTCCTTTACAAGATAGGACTCTGAAATATTCAAAGACTCAAAGATACATTTTAGTGTTACCAATACCCTATATTGTAAGCGACTTACAACAGCTTTTCATTGTTTTGAGAGATGATTCTTTCAAACGATGGCAGTGATAATGATTTAGTAAAAATATTTAGTTTTCCTAAATGTAACATTTTTTTGTGAAACATCTTTGTCATGGAATGACAAATATTGTAATAATGATATTACAATGATATTTACAGCAGTGAATTAATTAATGATTTCAAAGCAATTAATTCTTTTTCTGATGTAAAACAGTATGAACATGTTATTCCTAAAAATATGTCTTTCATGTAAATACAGAAACTCATTAAGCTATTTATAAGTACTAGCACTAGGCCAAAGTGAGATATTTATACCTTTAACATGCAGTTGTGTTTGCCATTGTCAGTGTAGTTGAAGTGTGCTGTTATGTTTATTCTGTAAAATTACTTGTGTATTGTGCCGTTATCAGTGTTTACTAATTTATTACACATCTACTTAGTATAGCCTTCATCATGTAAATAAAATGTTCTAATGTTGAACTTGTTTTGTTTGTTTTTGGAGACGAGGATGTTAACTTGGAGACGTTCATATACTGAGCAAGAAAACGATATGGCTGAAATATTGCCGATGTGACGTTAAATATTAACTCACTCACTCCCTCACTGAGCAAGAAAAGGGAAGGAATCATGAGTGTTTGGGGGATATTTTTATTAAAGTATTCATGAACCCTAACATTTTTTGCTGTTGTGGAAAGTTGAGCCAACATTTACTGTCTTCGGAAGCAGTTGTACAATAGAGAGGAAAATACACATCTCATTAGTTTCATTAGGTCGATTCCCCACAGGGGTATAAGAGCCTACACACACATTCGCTCTCCGAGCCAAAAAAGCACATCGGTACAAAGCATGAAGACGATTTCTGGTTTCCCCGCCGTGATATAGCTGGACGATTGTAAACCCGCATTCATTCACTCCCACTGATAAGGCCGTGCTTTCATTTTGTTGTATGCAAATGTCCCATTACGAATGTCGGAAATGCATTATCCTACATATATTTACACTGTAAAATATAGCCATTAAAGGCACTACATTTCTGACATTCGTAATATAACTGATTTGGAAATATTTAATTTAAACAACGACAAAAGGACCAGCGTTAAATCCTGACTCTTCCGTCTCTGAATAATGCATCTTTTGCTGGTGCATCAGAACGGTAGCCGATTACGTGGTGAAACGCCGCTGACTCATTCATACCAACAATAACAAGACGACTCGGAACAACAACGACCTTGGAGTCGCTATCCGCCCTCACACGTATTGTTGACACTGTCGCTCACGGTAGAATCAGCGATCTGACGCAGTGCAAACCTGCACATCGGCAAACAAAACATCCCATGTGTTCTCGCTAACAGTTGGCCGTGATCTTGCCCTGCAGAAGAAAGCACCTGCCCAATGTCAATCTCATTCGGACCACTGAGATCATGGGTTACTGATTACTGAAGCGAATGTTTGCAAATCGGAGGCAATTACAGATTCAGAGTTTGACATACATTTCGACATTGGGTATATAATGAGTGTCCACTGGGGGATTAATGTCACTGTTCTGTCGAAAGTCTTTTCATGCTCAAAGGAAGCGATTTGGGCTGGACCTAACGCCTGTCTTTCGGTATTTCTGGAATTCTTTTCAATTTAACTCTATTGTCACGTCAACTCATGTCGATGCTGATGATGTTAATCATCGGATTGTCTGTCCCAGTCTCGAATTATAATTAACAAAGTATCTCTATCAGGAGATGAGAGGTATTGTTCAGACTCATCAAATCGAGTGAAGTTGTGACGTATTCTGGCGCTGGCTTAGGAAAGAAAGGTTAACTGTATGAAGCCCATTCGGTACCTCAATCCCTCAACCGCATCATTTTCCCTTCCGACTAGCCCTTTCTGCAATGCTTTAGGCCTATATGAGTGAGTGAGTATAGTTTTGCGCCGCTTTTAGCAGTATTCCAGCAATATCGCGGCGGGGGACCCTAGAAAAGGGCTTCTCACATTGTATCCATTTGGGAAATCGAACCCGGGTCTTCGGCGTGACGAGCGGACGTTTTAACCACTAGGCTACCCCACCGCCCTATATGAAGCAAGTCTAGATTTCCTCATTATAGGGTCTGTTATCATCGGCAAGAAAAAGCATTCACTTCAGGGATCGGGTTACAGAGTAAACATATTAAAACATCGATTGCTGGCTGGACCAACAACTCAACCAGTGGTCAGGATTCTCTATAAACATGTTCATCTAACTCTTAATTAGCAGACACAGTGTACGTATGTAGGTACCAGTTGTTGAAAATGTACGTAGATGTTTCACTACCGGTTGTTGAGAATGTACGTAGATGTTTCACTACCAGTTGTTGAAGATGTACGTAGGTGTTTCACTACCAGTTGTTGAAAATGTACGTAGGTGTTTCACTACCGGTTGTTGAAAAAGTACGTAGATGTTTCACTACCGGTTGTTGAAAATGTACGTAGATGTTTCACTACCAGTTGTTGAAAATGCACGTAGGTGTTTCACTACCAGTTGTTAAAAATGTACGTAGGTGTTTCACCACCATGTGTTGAAAATGTACGTAGATATTTCACCTCCAGTTGTTGAAAATGTACGAAGATGTTTTACTACCAGTTGTTGAAAGTGCACGTAGATGTTTCACTATCAGTTGTTGAAAATGTACGTAGGTGTTTCAACACCATGTGTTGAAAATGTACGTAGATGTTTCACTACCGGTTGTTGAGAATGTACGTAGATGTTTCACTACCAGTTGTTGAAGATGTACGTAGGTGTTTCACTACCAGTTGTTGAAAATGTACGTAGGTGTTTCACTACCGGTTGTTGAAAAAGTACGTAGATGTTTCACTACCGGTTGTTGAAAATGTACGTAGATGTTTCACTACCAGTTGTTGAAAATGCACGTAGGTGTTTCACTACCAGTTGTTAAAAATGTACGTAGGTGTTTCACCACCATGTGTTGAAAATGTACGTAGATATTTCACCTCCAGTTGTTGAAAATGTACGAAGATGTTTTACTACTAGTTGTTGAAAGTGCACGTAGATGTTTCACTATCAGTTGTTGAAAATGTACGTAGGTGTTTCAACACCATGTGTTGAAAATGTACGTAGATGTTTCACTACCAGTTGTTGAAAATGTACGTAGATGTTTCACTACCAGTTGTTGAAAATGTACGTAGATGTTTCACTACCAGTTGTTGAAAATGTACCTAGATGTTTCACTACAAGTTGTTGAAGATGCACGTAGATGATTCACTATCAGTTGTTGAAGATGTACGTAGATGTTTCACTATCAGTTGTTGAAAATGCACGTAGATATTTCACCTCCAGTTCTTGAAAATGTACGTAGATGTTTCACTACCAGTTGTTGAAAATGTACGTAGATGTTTCACTACTTTTGTTGAAAATGTACATAGATGTTTCACTACTAGTTGTTGAAAATGTACGTAGATGTTTCACT